ATGTTCCTCTTAATGATGGACGTCGGGATCTCATTATAGAGATTACCATAACAAATGGGCTACGTTACTATGAATCGAGAATTTTCCCCAACCAACATCCAGGTTTTCCTCAAACCTGAGATTAAATGATTGCGTCCCTTGCACAAAACATTTCTTTTCGCAGAACAGAGAGCAAGATTTGCTGACAGCTTTAGCTATCTTTCAGCACGATACCGTCTTTTACGGAAACATGGACAAGCAATATGATCTGCTTATCCAAAACATCATTAGTGCAAAAAAAGCATGTGGATTCAGAAATCACCGAGATGCCATCTGTCTCCAGAAAAATTCAAACTTGTAGGGACACGTGGAATTGTGAAAACTGCGGGCAATCATCACTTCAGGTGTGGAGTAGCACCTAGTAGCAAAGAACTCCAAAGAGCGAATAAGTTAAGATCTTAAGAATATAGCACCATAAAGAATGAGCTGAAGACGCCAGAAAAAGTGTCCGTAACACAATTCAAAACTCTAAATTAAGACTTGATGATCTCTAACCAGTATTGAGATGGAAAAGTCACTTGTTGCAGAAAGGAAATGGAGAAACTCATAGAGGAATCCCACTTCGATTTCTCCTACAGTCACCTCCTCTTCTCTCTCGTGGAGTTGGTAACACCCATGTGGTTCGAAAACCACGCTTTAAAATTTGAACAAAAATATACCAGTTCGTAAGAAGTTTATTAGTTGAGGTCAAAAGCCCATTAGAATGCACAGATCATTGCCGACAAGATACAAATTCCCTTCTGTTAAAAAGAAACATTGGTTTTAGGAGGCGCGGAAGTCCTATTTCTCTCGTTCTTCATTGTCGAGGCTATTTCGAACATGTAAGCAATAGAAGAAGCAGAACCTCTTTCCTGAAAAGCAACGAGGGTTCCGACAAAATTCGACGCTCTACCTTTTGGGTGAAGAACCATACAACAAGCGTACCTGACTGGATTACATAAGAACATTTACATCGTTTGTCACACTTTCATAGACTTGAAATAGGCCTTTGCCTCAGTTGTAACAGAACAGGGTAGGGAAGAAGGTATGGACAGTTACGTGACCCTTACTCAACACATAAAGATTATTCATGAAATATATACCAACATCAAAACACTGAAGTGAAGAAAATAGTTCAACAAAGCAATATGACATCACTCCAGTGCTGAGCAGACAGAAAATCTAGCATTTTGGAGAGCACAGAAGAGAACCGAGGATAGAGTGAGGATAGAGCAGAAGAAACACCCGAAGCCGTGCCTTCTTTATCTGCGATTATGTCATTCTTCTAGACTTTATGGACGCACCGTAAACGTGAACACAAGGTACACACAATGAGAAATCACTATGCTATCGAACACGAAATCGAGTTAGGAATTAGCCCCATAAGGCAACTGAGAGAAAGAATTCGAAGTTCCGATCTACATTTACGACTAAGGATAATAGATCTTGTCATACGCCAAGGTGTAAGAAATTGGTCGAGTCAAGCATGTGGCGTGTTTTAGCGACAACCACATGAGGAGATGTAAGCGATTGGGCTCCATGGCGCACAGAACGAAGACCACCTTCTCGATGGTTATAATTCTTCATACGGAAAAAATGTAAAGCTAAGCGAAATGAAACATCTTGGACTAAGCTGATAATCATGCCACATAGGAACTATTCCTTATTTAAAACGATTTTCGAAGTAATGTTAACTGAAGAAAATACCGACTGGGAAACCGCAGAAATTTTATGGTTAGAACGTTCTTCGGGAAAACCATTTCTGGGAGCTCCGGCAGTCTAAGTGACCTCTCAAATAGACATCGCTGAAAATATACTGGCATATGGTTTCACTCGGACATATCGTATTATCTCGTGATTGTATGTTTTTCTTCTTTTTCTTCAAATTAAACTGTCCGCTCTTATAAAAAGTACAGAGCTGTCAGCGTTAGTCAATCCCTGAGCGGTGCGTCAATTTAGAAACAACTCATTGTTTCTGTCTTCGCAGACAAATCTGGTACCAATCTGCAGACCTCGGATGGAAGAAAGGATAGGTGGTAACACGTTACATGATTGAACTGGAAAAGCGTACTTTGCATGGCATTTTAGAACCACTGGGCTCGCGCTCCAGCTACTCTGCATCAGCCTTGTAGAAATCGGCGCTTGTACACAAATAACACATACTTGATACCTGATACTTAAATGGCACGTCCTCATTGGTTGTGCGGGCCCCAGCACAATCTCCATTGTTCGGACTCTTGCTGGTTTAATCATTGTAGTTCCCTGGAGTCCCGAAGTCAACCTGGCTAAAGTCTGCCAGAGGTCCTCACCACCATAGGCAGTCGCAACCCTTCTTGATCAGAGGGAGATTCAACACCATGCAACTTTGATACCAGGACGGTGGTGGATCCTAGTATTGGTTTACTCTTAGCTAGGCTTCCTTCCTAATAGAAACGCCGGACTACTTTTCAGCTTAAAAGACTCTGCCAGGGGATGAATCCCCCGCTATACATCGCGGTCTGACACCCAGGAACACCTTCCAGCCACGATGAGGCGGTAAACCGTTAGGAGGTACATAATATATACATGTATATATACCAAAGAAATGTTTAAGCGAGTTTTCCTTAGTGTTGGTGTAGCGATGCGAATGCGTAAGAGATGATTCATGTCTTAACATATTAACAGGTCTTATATTGAAATTAAGGGCGGGTGTGGCGCAATGGTTGGAGGCGCCACTGCGACACACACGTGGAATCGATCCAAACGTCCATGGTAGGCCACTGCGAGACACTGTGAAGGCCAGATATGCGTTCGATCACCTCCAAACGATACTCAGTGAAGTCGAATGCATGGCGCATCCCTCAGGGATTGATCAACGCCAAGAGCTTTATCCATTTTATCCTTAAAATTAAAATTGTGAGGCTCCTCGTGTTTAATGATCTTACTGCAGAAATCGCGCAGCAAGCACCGAGATCTTATTGGTGAACCAAGGAGTTACTTGATGATTAATGCGATTACGCGTGACATAAATGTCTGCATAATTTTACGTACGCATGCGTGTATATAAGGATGTTTGTGGCGCAGTGGTCGGAGACGCCCTACAATACACATGGGATCTATCTCCGAGCCCCTGGTCCACCAAACTTTGCATCTTTTCGGGATCGGCAAATTGGTACCACGCTTGTCTGGTAGGATAGCAGCATTGGTTCGGCACATCGGTAGGCCACCGGGAGTCATTGTAACGGCCAGATGTGCATTCAACTACCTCCAAACGATGCTAAATGAAGTCAACTGCATGGCACATCCCTCAGAGATTGACGAACAGTGAGAGCTCTATCGTTCTATCTTTTAAGTGTGAATATATACATATATATTTACTTATTTTTGCACACGAATCCACAAGACACATAGTGCAAGTCCCAATATTTACTGCATTCGATTCGTTTTTTCGCATCCTAAAAACACCACAAACGCACTCGGATTTTCGTGTATATTTCCAGGCTGCTTTTTGAGCATTTTCGGACTTCTTTATGAACGTCATTGAAATAGCGGTTGAGACTACTCTCCGTAGAACCCCGAGGGAAATGTCATAGGGTGCTTTCAGATCTTTGTCACAGGCGGTCGCCATCTTTGGTGAGATAGTTGGTCCCACAGAGGCTTGGTACAAAACTGTAATGAGTACCAGAAAGTTTGAACTCGTTCTCGTAGCATTTCATAGCAGTACTGAAGGCTTCTCTCGATCGAACAGCACAAACAGTGTCTCACATTTGGTATCTTGCCTCTTAATTTCACTATTCTCAATAGCCGTCCCAACGGCTCATCGTGGCTGGGAGGCGTTTCTAAATGTCGGGCTGCAACGTACAGCGGGTGGATTCATCCAACTAGTGGGGTCACCCAAGCTGAGGAGATCGGCGTTTCCATGAGGCAACCTAGCCAAGAGTAGTCGTATGGTGGCAAATCTCGCTCTGATCCACAAGGGTAACATCTGCCTGGTGGTGACGACGTGGGCAAACCTTGGCTAGGCAGACTTTGGAACTCCAGCAAATCACAACGACTAAACCAGCAAAACTCCGAAAAAATGGGAACTATTCTGGAACCCACGCAAGCGCTGAGGATGGGCTGTCCAATTATCCAAGTGAGCAAAGTCACAGTAAATTACTAAGTGATTAAAGTAAGTTACATACGCATCTATATCTACATGTATATGCATATATTACACCTGTCAATACTGGAATCAATACAAAACTTACAGAACACTCTAAATCGTCACTTGTTGACACACTACCCTCATGAACGCACTGCGATTCCAAAATGTGGTCCCATACAGCTACGAAGTGGAAGCCGCCCCTAGTGAACTCATCCTAGAATGTTAATTCTCAATGCATCCTAATGTTTGTGATTAACAGCACCTAATAACCTGTTTTCTGGCGCTTCTTCTAGCACGAGCTAAGATTTCAGAAACACTTCGCGTAGTCTCCTTCATCTTTCACCAATCCGAAGGCTTCGAAACAATTAGTGTGATATCTCTGACTCACGTTAATGAGATTGAAATTTATTTGTAACAAACTCTGCAGAGGTTCGCTTGCTCAACTTTAAGTTGCGGATATAACCGCCCTTCCAAAATCAAGATTAGTAGACTTGTGTACTGCAACACCCCAGAAAAATATGATGCTAACAAAACTGACGCATTTATTTTTGGCATTCCCAGAACGTCAATAGGGAGGATCGTTTAGAAACCGAGACTAATACTGCCGTTTCTCTCAAAAAATATGAACGCTCGCAATATGAGAATGTAATTAGGAAATTTTCCGTATTTAAACAAACTCGAGATATGAAGCAGCCAACACACAGAAAAATCCTAGTTATCTCTCCATCTACTTCAATCCGAGAGAGCAAACAAAATAGAATTAAAAAAGGAGAACAAAAACAAACTTCTAAAAAGTACAAATATCAATTCTGAAAACAAGTGAACAGCCAGAAACAATGAGAATGTATCACCATTATCACAGCAATCCATGGTTCTTATGAAACTGCCGAGCTACATTTGGATACTGGGAAGAATCGTAGTCAGAGTCTCCTAGAATTCGGTGTTGAATTGCAAGGACCATCAACTCATCCAACGCACTCAAGGCAGCACCTGAGCTGATATTTTCATGGATGGTAGTCTAAAAGAAACGCCATTAGGTAGGCACTGATGACAAATAGAATCTCTCTACTGTCCCAACATTTACCGGATAATGACACACAATCTGCTGAAAGGTATGCAAAAACAGCTAACAGAAATAATAACTCGACATATAAGCGCTTCAGTAAACGGGTAAGACGATGTCAATACTTACTGGGATATTACCACGAAAGACATTTCCAACAATTTCTTGCGCTGCGGAAGATAGCAAACTTTCTTCGGATGCATGTTCGGGCACTACTTGCTGAAACTAGGACATTTATTAGAGAAAAAACTGATTCAGTGCATCAAAGAACAAAATGACTTACTCTTCTTCCATGTTCTAAATGCCCCATCTGATACATGTCACTAGGATTACGAAGTAGACGAGGATTTGTTTGACCTGATAGTGCATCGCACTCTATTGTCTCAACCCAGTCCTAAATGCACATATCTTTTTAACAGAAACACGTACTACAAGACGTCAAAGATCATGAAGAATATACAGGAAAAAATCGTGCCCAATCTCCATCATAGCCTCGGAGCTGGGCAGCTGACTGAGCATCCTCTTCACTTCCAGTTCCAGTTCGCGTAGCGGTAGACATCCCAAAGCAAGCGTGTGATGTTGATGGCTTGAGCTGAAATCCCAATATTCAGGAATATAAGCCTAATAGTACTAGCAATGAGATTCCTCTCATTGTTTGAAAAATTTCTGAAAAAATAACTTGCACAGCACTAACTGCGATAATAAGACGCTTCGCTCTAATATAGAAAAAAGATATTTATTCGAAGTAAACATAAAACTAGTATCACACGTGTTCTCAGAATTGAAGAAGCACATATAACTTTCAAATTAGCAAACATGTAACATTTTAAAAAAAGAAAATTACGGTTCTATGCTAGAAAAGTGTATGAGGTTTTATAAGCAGTGCATTGTAGCACTGTAGCAAACGGTTCGAAAAAGCAAACATGCATTGCTATACCTATGCAGAAGCGACTTTAACACGTAACTACCCGAAAAAACATGCTAATTAAAACATTCACAATTTTTTCTACTTAGTGGTGACTAGCAAATCAGCGCTAGAAAATAAACTCAGTCATTGGGATGGCGTGGATATTACTATTACAAATCCTTGAAAGGAACAACAATTGAAGAAAAACTTTAAGCAGAGGTATATCGGAGGTGAGTTACAAAACCAAACTAAGCTAAAAGTAAGGGCATAAACGATCACAATAAACATCTTATAACGAGATTAGAAATGAATTCCTAAAAAACCGTCTCTAATTACCATCACTCATACGTCTTGACCATCAGAAAGTACCTCTTCATCCTCCAACTTCCTTTTCTTGGCAGCAGCCGGTCCGATTGAAGGAGTACCACGACTTCGAGTCTAGTTAGGGAAAACAGGTTCAAACTATTTTCATTTCGCACTATTCATGTGTTAATAGATGAAAATTCAATGATATTAAAAACAACTCCTAAACTGAACGCAGATCCAGTTGCTTAACTTATGAAGGCTCCGAAGTTCAAAATGTATGATAAATCGCATGAAAATACATTAGCACAAACACCAAGAGCGCATCCACCGTCGCTTGACCAAAATGACACAGTGGTGCTACTCAAAAAATTGTGTGTTGGGTCTCTTGAATTCGTATGCTTCTTAAAGAATGGAATGGCATACAGAAAAGAGCGGGAAAATAGTGCGACGAAGAAATAGCGCTTTTTATTGACCTTTTAAATCCATGAATGTAGGAATAGTAAGTTTCAAAAGTATAGGAGGACACTCCTCTCAACGGTTTACCACCTCATCGTGGCTGCAAGGAGTACCTCGGTGTCGGGCCGAGATGTACAGCGGAGGATTCATCCTCCTGGATGGGTCTGCCAAGTTGAGACCGGCGCTTCCATCAGGGAGCGTAGTTAAGAGTAAACCAATACCAGGATCTACCACTGTCCTGGTATCAAATTAGTCGCATAGTGGCAAATCTCCCTCTGATCCACAAGGGCAGCGACTGCTTGTGGTCGTGACATGGGGCAGACTTTGGTCAGGCTGACTTCGAGCTCCAAAGAACCACAACAGCTAAACCAAAAAACCTCCGAGAAGATGGAAATCGTACTGGAGCCCGCATAATCAGTTAGGATGGGCCATCCAAGTATCCAAGTATAGGGTGGTACTAATACAGCGAAATTATTGGAACAAACACAGCCAAAAGCACTTTAAATATGTTGATATTACCCAGTAGTTATAACAACCTTCTGTCTTCAACAATTTTTAAACCAAATACTTCCATCTAACAACAATTAAACCGTTCCTACTGCAACTGCAATAAAACGTTGGGAGACCAATTGGGCCAAAGATGCCCAACTGATGCAGTCGACAGCACAAAAAAATACGTGGGAATAGAAGTATTTTTTATAGTACTTTCCACAAATGCAAGTAAGTCAGAGAATTGGAGGAATAATTTAAACACAAAATAAATTTCAACGTAAGCATAGCGCCTTACAAGACCACAGGTTTGATAACACAGAAAAATCGCATTTTAGTTGAAAAAAGGTTCTCTCAGAAATATGTGTATACAAACCTCGTCATGACTATCGTGATAATCCTCATTCACACCATTATGTACGGCATTACAAACTTGATGTTCATCTTCGGGAGAATGCACATCCGATATCGATGAAACATCCGGGCGCAAACAATCAGTCCAAGCTAGAAGACGAGACGGAATTTCATCAAGGTTCGGTAAAGGTCCTGAAATAAGAAAATTCGTCCACTACTCCATATACGTTTTGGCAAAGGTTAACAAAGGAATTGTCTAGCACCTCCTAACATGAACAAACGTAGAATAAGAACAACAGCGAATGAAACCTAACCTTGCCCACGCAGAAGAACTACAATACGCGGCAGTACAAATCTCCTTAAATGCATCAACCTGGTCAGATTTGTATCAGCATTCCCAATGCTTCTATCGGCATTTACCTAAAGACACTAGCACTTCACTCATTTACCACAATTGGCCTATGATACTTACCAGAAGTTCAAACACTATCGTTATATACGCTGTTTGCTCTGAGTTACTGAACGAGTAGTTCCCAAGTGCTACCAAATGGCGAACGTAGTCACGTAGGGTGTTCTGTATACGACGGCTGAACTCAGCATCGGAAACTATAAGTGAAAGCTAACGTAATATGTAAAAACTTCAAAACTAAATAACTCACTAGTCCTGTTCAATAAAGACCGGAGAAGTTGCTGAATTGTTGCTATTTCGACGTTACGGATTGTTTGTGGTATGCTTAACAATCTACCATTCCAAATACGCTCAACTTCACCACCGGCAGTACAAATAATAGATGCGATAGATGAATGAAGCGCTGCCAGACGTTCGGATGCGGAAAGTAAGTCTATAATGTGCATTTAAAAATTTACAAGTGCAGAAGAGTAATTCTATTGAAATCTCCAGAATAGTCCAATATGAGAAGAAAGATTTGAATTAAGGTTAAGTGTATCATTTAAACCCTCCTAACCACTAAAGAACTCAAGCGGACAGCAGTAAACCTTAATGTGTTTCACTTGCAAGCCAGAATTACATAATGGGCTTCGCTAACTTGAAGGGCACAAATGGCACAAGAATTTCCGTACGAATCCTTTGATTACTACCGTTTTTTTTCGAAATTTCACGATTGGCGAGTTAAGCTTTCCCTCTATGTATGCACGCATGATTATGTGTATGCAGAGAGCGTGTCTTGTTCAGCTGAAATCAGGTGGGTTGCCCCATAAACCAAACTCTGAAATAAGTTAAATGGTTGCTTATGCTATGCTTGTAACCTCGCCATCATCAAGGGAACAGCTCTATAGCCAGGTGAGCCACTGTATCACTTACACGTGGTGGATATACATATGTTGCGGCCATGCAGACAAAAAAAAATTTCGCAGCAGGGCTGAATGCGCTCGCAGGTCCACTCTGTGCGTAAGTGATACTCGGTTTTCATCTCTATCATCAACCACGCGAATTAAGAAAATTGTTTAAAAACTGGTTCTCTATAAACACTTGACATAAACTCAGCAGAGGCATAAGTCGATAAGAAACATGTAACGAATAACGCTGTACAACTCACCATCATCTGTAGGAGTAGAGTTTCCATTTAACTGGTTCTCAATGACATGTGCTCGGAAATGAGCTCGATGAAATTCTAATGGCGTCATATTGAAATCTAACATACTTGCAAGATCACCAAGAGTAGCGAAGTTCAAGAGTAGAGCTTCAAGATGTAATAGCACGCCAGCCCCTATAAACCATGGCAAAATTTGTTCTAAAAAAAAGTGATACAACAAGATCGAGTGTGCCGCACTGGTAAGATGGACTCCGCAATACACAATGGGTCACTGGTTCCATTGTGCGTCAGGGAGTAACCAAGCGATCTCTCAATAGTTGGTAAATTCTTGTCAAACTTGTTTGAAAGAATAAGAACCACTAACGTGACATATCAGAAAACCGCCGCAAAATCGTTTTGTGGGCTAAACACACATTCAATTGTCACTGCAATGCTTGATAAAGTCGGACGCATGCAGCACCCTTCAGAGATTAACTAACACCGAACGTTCTTTCTTTTTCATGCTTTAACATCTCGGTAAACACTTTTCAACTCAAAGGAGAATTATTCACTAGTTCTATACTAGTATCTGCGAGAAACTTTTATTCTCACCATTTCCTGGACGTAACAATGACGTTGGAGCACCAGACATGTCGAGAATCGTTATTAGCCTACTTTCGAATCCAAGCGTCATTGCGTTAGCCATCTAAAAATAAAAACGAATGCTATTTTGCCGCAGCCTGCACAACCCGTGCAGAAAAACGTAGCAGTTTTCCCACACAAAAAAGTATTTCCCCATAACAATATAAGAAGCACTCCGATTTCCAAACAAAACCAGTAGAACACAAACCTCCGTTAAAATATTACGGCTTCCATCTTCCCGGAGAAAGGAATCAATGCGCTGTTCATTCGAAGCACCTACAAGTAAAATCAGCGTAGAAATCCATTCAAAAAAAACAACGAAACTAGTACCAATCAACCATCAAGCCATAAAAACGAGTACGCATAAACTAATATTGGTTAAAAAAATTACTATTCGAAGTTATTGAAGGAATATTTTGTGAATACTCAGGAGCTGAAGTGGAAACAGCATTAACAGCAGAATGTTGTTGAACCTCCGCATGTACCAAAATTGGGGCAGACATTGTTTCTACAACTTCACCACCACCAGGAGTCTAAACACAATTTAACTCGTTCAGAGAACTGCTGAGAACGTAAATTAAACTAACCACTTGTACCTGTACTGACTGACCAACTGAGAATACATGAGGAGCAAACCCACGAGCATTTTCTAAAAAAATGTACCTTATGGTAAAAAGTGAAGGTGAAATCTGCTTTCTACGGATGGCAACCACGATCCTCGTAATGTATAAATTCTCATAAACACATTGCTAGTTTGAGTTTAATCTACTTCTTCTGTTCTTTAGGTTACTCACGTGCGTTACGATCCTGATCCGCATGAACCATTTGACTCAAAGCCGATCGAACAGCCAGTTGTATGAATGCTCGGAAATTTTCTTCGTCATTAACCAATATGTCTCCGGAAGAATTAAGACCAACCTATAACGACAAGGATGATAACCAATAATCACTGAATTACTTATACTAGGTTGGTTAGATTAAAAATTAAATTTCAATTTGTTTCCAAATCTTCATCCTTTGTTTCCAGATAAGATTTTAATCTAATCACACGGTTTCAAACCGCATAGATCTCTATAAACTTTTATGATGTTTTCGTTTCTATAGTGCTTTGTGCTCAACTTATGACATCGGAATAGGAACGCACAGTACAAATTACAGCACTCCCACTGGATAAGCTCAAATCGAATGTAAAGCTGCAAGAATAACAAATAATAACAGTACTGTATAAGAAGGTAGAAATGTTAACGCATGAGCATGAAAAAGTGTTTCTTACAAGAGTTTAGCGACGAAATTGAGAGCTTTAATGAAGAATAGTATTGGAGAGAACCTGCTGTTGTCGGCGAGGACCGTTTGAAAACGTTAACCCAATAATGGGAATTGGAAAAGCTCGATCAAGTGTGTCTGTACGAATTGAATGCATTTCAAAAACAATTTCGTTATAAAGTCTGTTTTGCTGTCATCTAGCAAAAACCAGCTGTATCCTGATCTCACGGTAAATGAAGTGCATTCTATAAAGAAACTCCCGAATATGGGTGATCAAATATTAAGTGATAAAACATTCTCCGATAAAGTATTTGCAAAAATAGAACGCTACAGTGATTTCCTCGTGGTTGACACGTGGGGTCACGTAGTAGTTTTTAAAACCTCGGCGGAATAAATTTAGTGAAGTACTATTGGGAGGCTAACAAGTAGTGACAAATAGACAGAACGCAATAGTGTTGGATGACAACACCCGACAACTTGTCGTACAACGAACACTGAAAAAGTTGTCAGTATTAGAATACGGAACTCTGCCTCATGGAACACCTGCATGGAAAGGTAGTCAAGAAACAATCCGCTGTTTAAAATATTTGAAGACACTCGTGGTTTCGGAAAGCTAGTTCTGGATCAAAAAATTTCAATCTTCATGGCAAAGATGTGTAGATTACAACGGTTTTGATTTGTTTAATAAAATTACAAGCTGCGATATCAGCACCTTAGATTTGAGATCAAAATCCGATGATATTCTCAAAATCACCGACCTGCACATGCTCGTAGCTATCAATAGGCGCACTGCGTCGGTTAGCACCCAAAGGCGATATTGATGTATTCTGGAGTGTTTAGAAAAGTACAACTTCAAAAAATATTTCGGAATCCTTGTGTTATAAAATTACAACACATCCACATAAACCATACTGCATTAAGAGTTAGAAACCAAAGAGTTTTAAAAAACGCACTCGCATAAATCTCCGGTAAGGTGACAAATTATTGGAAATGGTAGGGTAACCGCTCCGCAAAACCCGCTGTACGTCAGTGAAACGACTTGTGCATGATAGGAAAGGATCCACATTCACAACCTTGGAGTGGATGACGAATTATAGCATTTAAAAATGCAATCTCTGAAAACAAAACATACCTCCTGTCGTGGAGGCGTAACATGCATTTCAGGCTGAAATCCCGTGTTTCCCATGAAAAGTGGTAGATTATTAGCTGGGCCTAAAATATGTTTAAAGAATGGGACAAAAGATGAGTATTTTGCTACGGGTAATACATAGCTTGAGGCTTTCGAATTACCGCTTGATTACTCAGAGAAATCGCGGAGTTTTCGTGCGTTGTCACAAACCGTACCATAGGTACGATGAAAAAGTGGGATCAAAGAAAACTGCTCGTGATAAATTAATTCGCAAAATAATCAGATAATACTTTCCAATTTAGCAATGAAATGTGTTTGATTTTCCTTAAATAGTAGAAAGAAATATTGGTGACAAGATAAAACAGCAGCCCAGCATCTACAATGATGGAATCAGCACGAGATATAAAACAAACCTAACTGCCGCTGTCCACCCGGCACAAAGCCACCACGGGCTGACGTAGAGCCTGTTGTATTTGGAAGATTACTGTAGTTGGATGAAGTGGATGGAGCATAAGTATTCAATGAGATACTGTGTTGCGATGAAATCTGCGATGAATCTGGTCCCATAGACTGAGGAATTACATCGAACTGGTGAACTTCTACATGGTATCCAATAGCAGTAGGATGCCCTCTTAACAAAAAAGGCAAGTTAACATTAAAACGAAATTAAATTCCACAAGTTTCGAAAATCTTTATCAAAAATGACGACATGTAAGTTCGAGCTCACCTCTGTTCGGATATGCCACCTGCAGATAAATCAATTAACTGCGGTTGTATATGATTAATACTAGATTGTGAGCCGCCTTCCTAAAATGTCACATCAACGTTGCAGTCTAGAACAAATATGTAGTAATAATGACATCGTAGTGCAAATAGGACAGACTGAAACAATTATTTACTCCATATTCTAAGATGACGTCAACCTGAGGTGACATTGCGCCATTAATACCATTATTCCTCATGATATTCGAAATCACTTCCTAAAGGGTGAGAATTCACAGGGAATTGAAAATTTACATACTGTTATCATGCTCACCGACATAAACGGCATCTGATTTCCGGTCTGCGTGATTACTCCCCTGGCTAGGGAACCTAATGATGGGACCAAAGACTGCTGGTTAGGCTGAAAGCATAGAAACCATCCATCACAACACAACTATCAAGAGCTATAGCATTACCATCTGCGATGGTGATGAAGACGATTGTTGATAAAGGTGACCAGTCGTGGACGTTCGTTCAGCCTGTGTTCCGTCATGATTGAACGCCTAAAAGATATTTCATGAATACATTAGTTAAAGTATTAGGCTGAGAAAAAAAACGAGATCAAAGCAACCTGCTGGATGGCCGTGTTACGGAATAAACTGTTCATGTCGAAGCTTGGATCGCTAGCGCGCTGTAGCAGAAGTCTCATAAAGCGTTCATAGGGATTAGATGATTCCAAAGCTATAAGATATAGTAATGAATGAACTAACGATTGAAATCGGTGTTAGGGAAATAAAACATACATGGTAAGCTCTGCTCGACCGTTCTTATCAGCACTTCTTCTAGCGATGGTGAATTATTTGAAGCGCTATAAAATCAACAAACACAAAAATAACCCGGTAAATGGAGACTGAATACTTAACCAAACCAGAGAAAAAAACTATTAAAATACTAGAGAACCAAAAGAGATATCTATGTTTCCTCACTGATATAAAGATACCTTAATGTGGGCACCTCAGCAGATGAATCTTCAGCAACTGGTAACTGATTTTCTCGAGACTGCCTTGGACGTAAACGTGGAGCGATTATAGCATCTGACTGCTTAATTAGTGCAAACAGTAACTCGTCTACAGCTAAGGAAAATGAACTAAAACACTCAAAAAATAGGAAAACTTTAGTGATTTTCGCGGCCTTCTACATTCCAAATAGTCTTCATGGAATGTTGAACAATTAGAAACCGAATCTACAAGAAATCTGGTCCACAAAATGTTGTTAGCGGGTTAAGGTCAGATTGGTCTCCAAGCGAATTCGAACACAATGTTCATGAAAAGCGTGCCTGTTTTCGATGGTACATTCACAATCAACGGAATGAGTATCGCCGAATGTTAAAGCTATGGGTATCTGGGTTGAGAAGTCAAATTGAAGGAAATCACAACTACTTAAACTTTAGATACGAAATCCACGAAAACTTGCCAAATGATTTAACTGGATAAAGTATTAATCTCAAACTAACTAGCAGCGCAGAACCATTAAATCCTGGAGGTCTTGAGACTGTACGGATTGATGAATCCAACCCTAAATAAGAGCCGGAATCAAACACTTTAAATGTGACAGTAACAATATTTAACACATAATGCCTATGAATGGGCGCGTGTAGCGGAGCGGTCGGAGGCACACGCAGTACACATGGGATCAATTCCCGCGCCTATGGCTCACCAAGCCTTCCATCCCTCCGGTATAAGCAAATTGGTACCATACTTGTCTGGGAGGATAGCAGCACTGGCTCGATACATCGATAGGCCACCGCGAGTCATTGTAAAGGCCAGATATGCATTCATCACCTCCAAACGATTATTATTGAAGTCCAATGTATGCCGCATCCCTCAGGGATTGATCAACGCCAGCAGCTTATCCTTTATAGAGCTTTTTAACGCCCATGATACTTTACTTAACATGCACGTTTCGAATGCAAAATAGATCTAGTACCATACACAGCTTGCATATTCTTTTCAATGGTTTATTCTCGTACAGTCTTTCTTACCACGCCTTCTGTATTCATCGATTGCTTGTCCAACACAGATGGTGTTGGCCTCGAATACTTAACTCTACACAATTAATGATGTACAAAAACGTTTTCTCGGATAAGTTTCGCAACGACAGACTGTTGATGTTAAAGACAGTACCAAAACCTTTCCCAAACCGACATACCATGCGTAAGGATTGCTGAATATCGGGTCTTTCTTTAAAATTTACGCAGCTGCCATGAAATTAGTCATCGTGTGATGAGGCAGTCAGGCAAAATTGAGAAACTGGCGTTATGCGTTAATATAAAATAAAATGCAAACCAGATATAGGATTTCGTGTCCATGAAACTGATGTATTCCTATGCAGAGGTGTAGACTGACGTTGTACAACCATACGAGGAGTGCTAGATCCACCAGATTGTACGTTAACCTGCCCTACAGCCGTTACAGGTATGGGAACAGCTATCCCCATTTGTTGCATCCTACGTACTGAATAAAACACTTCATTCAAATATATACATATATGTATATGTATACATAGCTCCTCCAAACGCTTTGCGGCCTCATCGTGACTTGGAGGTGATCCTGGGTATCGAGCTGCAATGTGCAGCTGATAGATTCATCATCCCAACATGGCCTCCCAAGCTGAGAAGGAATTTGGCGTTTCCATCAGTAAGCCCAGTTAAGAATACACCAATACCAGCATCCACCACTGTCCTAGTATCAAACTAGTCGGATGGTAGCAAATCCTCTAATCCACAAGGGCGGATACTCCTGTGTTCGTGACGACCTGGAGCAGACTAACTAGGCTGACCTCGGGACTCCATGGAACCACAATGGTTAAAACAGAAAAACTCCGAAAAAGTGAAAATTATGCTAGGGTCCGCACAACTAGTGAAGAGGTGTCATCGAAGTATTTAAGTATACATGTGTAGTAAGCTGATGAAAAAAGACAATACGACTGGCTCTGTCACTACGAAACTGAAAACTGCGTTTTGCAATAATTATTTCCACATTATGTCTAAGCTTTTATCTATTTCCTAATCTACTTTCATAGTAAGGTACCATTCGAAATACAACCACAAGCAACCTGGGACATGAGCAAAACCATGAAGCCTCGGCGGGCTTCGAAGCAACGATTACTCTTACCAGTGGCTTAAGTGCTACACACTATACCAACCAAGGCCCTTAGTTCCCTTTCACTGCTGATGGCAGCAATATAGTAAAAACATAATACATTTCGTAATCTTTATTCTATGTTTACGTAACTGATAAAGTCCCTTCTCGAGTCTGCTTTTGGCATAATAATTCCCTATATGCCTTTTTTAATGTAATGTATAATGCCCTTAGATTCCATTCTCTCAAAGCATAAAAATAGCCCCGTTCTGCTTCGTGGCAACAAACTTGGACATGAAACAACGGCAGTAACTCGAAATGTCACTAAAACATGCGCTGGAGAAGAGCTTCTAAAGACATTAAAGATATGCTTCTTAAGACTTTGTATAGGAGATATAAGTACTTACGACAGGGAACGTCGTGGAACCGTCTGAAGCTGATAATCAAACTAACTCTCCAAATTCAACTTGAGAGGTTTATTTATATGAACTTATAAACTGATCTTCTTAAGCTGACGCGAAGTTGGTACAGGTCTTCGTTGTCGTTGTTTTTGATGTTGTTGGTCGATGGCTGACGTTTCGGTGACTTCTGACCCACGCGTTGTTTACGTGGGCTCGTGGGCAAGACGAACCCCGGGGTCAAAATATCATATTGAAATAGGGCGCCAGGTCACGTGTGATAGTGAGGCATTCGTCTTTCTGGTTCATCTTCGGATTTTTGAAATTTATCCAAAACGCCTCAAGAGTTTTGCCGCTGTTCGTAAAATCGTCTTAATGCGACAAAAACCTACTTTCTACGCCGCTGCTTAAAACATCGAATTATTCCTAACTTTATAAAACGTAGGAAATTATACGAAGCATGCGGCTTACCAGAGAGCTCTCAACAAATGCTGAACACCGAAATAAAACTGCTACGCATTTCATTGCGGTGAACACGAAACGAAATGTTTTCACTATTAAACAAATGTGTGTACAAAGAAACTGTGCTCAGCATTTGGAGAGAAATCTTTGGATTGTAGTTCTTCTTAGTCAGTTGTATATTAGGATAACAGTTGAGCACCTCAGTGATGTTTCTCTCTATCGAACATCCTCTGAAAAGGAATACAGAAATCAATACCGAAAATTGAATCAAGAATGGGTCAGCACGGCAAAGGCCACGGGTTTAGAGCCTTCAGTTACTTCTCGACTTAAGAACGAACACCCGATTTGTCCTGTCCTTTACTTGCTTATTAAAACACATAAGCTTACTTGAACTGATGATATTACGTCAACGAACCCATCATTATATAAAGTTAGACCTATCATCAGGTGTATAGGCGGGCCAACGGATAGAATAACGTGGTTCCTAAACCTTATCCTAACCCAGCTGCTAAAATTGATTCCAACCCATCTACCTAACAACAAAATATTCCTGGATCACCTAAGGAGCGCGCAGCCAAACAGCACGCATATAATGGAGTCATTCGATGCTACTTCACTTTACACCAACGTGTCCAATGACTCCGCAGTGCAAGCCATTCTCGGGTTGCTCGTAGAGCATGAAAAAGAAATAAAAATGCACGGCTTGTCGATTGCGCAACTAATGACTCTTAAAACAGTGTCTTAGTTGTTCAATCTTTAGGTGGTCTGGAAAATATTTTGCACAAATTAGAGGGTTGGCGATGGGGCAGCGTTTAGCACCAAGCCTTGCCATCGCTTTCATGTCTAAGGTGGAAGCTCCAGTTTTCGATCACCGACCCTTACTCTACTGTCGATACATAGACGACTGCTTCATCGTCTGTTCCACACAAGAACAGATGGATGAGTGCTTCGAATTATTAAACCGACAGTCAGGGTATATAAAATTTACACGAGAAAAACCTACCGAGGACTCGCTTCCATTCTTAAACATCCAAAAAAAGCTCTCAGTAAGTGGCTATGTAACAAAATGGTATCGCAAACCAAGTAAAAACATTCTAGTTCACTGCCTTTCCTCTCATCCTTCACACATGAAAAAAGCACTTATCAAAAACATGTACCGTACGGTTAAAAATGTGTGTACAGGAGAAGACGAAAGGAAGAAATCGCAAAACCTGGCACGAAAAATTGCCATTTCCAATGGCTACGAAGTAGAAGCCACTCGGGTTAGAGGAAAACATTGGGTAGTTTCCCAAAATAATATTTCAGACGAAACTAAGATCCCTTTTAAGCTACCCTTCATATCAAATGAAGTAAGTCACGCCATTAAAAAGTGCTTAAGAAAAAGTGGTCTTGAAAATTATGTAACGATTATTGACATCCCACCCAATTCCCTACGCCGCCAGTTGGTTCGAAACCGTCTCCATGATCGTTTGTGCAGCTCAGAAAACTGTATGATTTGTCCTAACGGAAGAGACGGAGATTGCATGAGTTTAGGTATAATATACTTGATCTCATGTAATGCATGCGGCGAGGAATATATTGGAGAAACGGGTGGACCACTTTGTGTCCGCATAAAAGAACACCTAGATGGAAAAGCTAAAATCCGTTTAAACACCCCTCTAGATGCGCATAGGGCACAAAAGCACAACGGCGATGATTTTGAAGTGACTGTGCGGATCCTAGCGCAGGAATCAAAAACATCAACGCGCAAAACTCTTGAGGCGTTTCGGATGAATTTCAAAAATCCAAAGACGAACCGGAAGGACGAATGCCTCACTATCACGCGTGACCTGGCGCCCTATTTCAAAATGATATTTTGACCCGGGGGTGTGTCTTGCTCACGACCCCACGTGAGCTACATGTGGGCCGGTCCCACACGTAACATCACGGTGAGTGGCCTTTCTGTTCAATATGTCGTCTATTTGAAAGTTTGATCTTCATTAATACTTTAACCTTTTTACCAGCGAATAATTAAAGTATTTTTATATAAAATACGTCCAGGCTCTAAGGAAGGCGAAGTCGCTGAAACGTCAGCCATCGAACAACAACATCAAAAACAACGACAACGACAACGAATACCAGTACCAACCTCGCGTCAGCTTAAGAAGATTAGTTTATAAGTTCATATAAATAAACAGCAACTACCTATGCCGAGGTTTATAGAAAGTCGGTCTTTCGAGTTATTAAGAGATGTTTCAACTTGAGAGGTTGTATAAAACATAACCGGTTTAATGCAAGTTCGTCATTTCGATGACACTATAAGGGTGGAAAAGCTGTGTGATTACGCGCTGCGTCAATTGAATGAACGGCAGGCATGGTGGTGAGGCCCGTTATACGCCTCTTGTACACCGCAAAAGAGCCAATTCTCTGTCGCACAGTGAAGGGCGATAAAAAGTGGAGTCCATACGAAAACCAATGACTTTAATGGAATTACTGCATCAGGATAAGGCTTCCACGCATTTTCTAAACTCCACATTGCAACGAAAGATTGTTGTAATAAATCGTTTGTTTTGGGCAAAGCAAACTATGTAGAATAAGTCTTGAATCTATGTACAACGACAATAGCAGAAACGTAGTATTACCTAATTGATAAAGCTCTACAAAATTACACTTACAACGACAGTTCACACTTTGCACTACAATCGCTGTTGAACTTGGGTGAGTTGGGCCGCGCAGTCCTGCATCACGAACGTCCTCCTAACCAACTGTTACTTCGATACTCGGATAGTTGGACAGCCCGTCCTCGCTAGTTGTGTGGACCCTAGCATAGTCTCTATTTCTCGGAGCCCCGCTGGTTTATCCATCGTGTTTCCCTAAAGCCCCGAGTTCAGCCTGGCCAAAGTCTGCCCTAGGTCGTCATTACCACAGGCGGTCGATGCCTCTGTGGAACAGAGGGAGACTTGCCACCATTCGACTAGTATAATACCATGACGGTGATGGATCCTGATACTTATTCTTAGCTGGCCTTCCTGATGGAAACGCCGGACTCCTTCTCTATTTGGGAGACTCGGCCAAGGCGATCCTACCGCTCTACATCGCAGCTCGACACCCAGGAACACCTCCCAGTCACGATGAGGCGGTGAATCGTTGGAAGAAACCAACTGTTATGCTTTTCAATTCGCTATAAAAGTCTCCAACAATCAAACCGCTACAAAAATGCATACAAAGAAATCGCCGTTTCCTGGTCTTCAGAACTTTACATCATTGGAATGAATAAACTTGTACTTTACTGGTAAGTGATGGATCAACCTAATTATAAAATTTTTGAAATCGAAGTCGAAAATCGCGTTTAATTTTCATCAAGTCAAAAAGCATGTATTATGTAGCCATGAAATCAAATTTCAAAAGATTTACGGAAAAGAACAAAAAGCGAACGGTAACGAACCAGTTGGATTTAGCCCAATAATACGGATTTCCTCGCCTGTTAGTTCTTGAACATCGGAACCTAAATGCAACTATATTCATATGAGTTATTGAACTAATCAGAAAAAACAATAATCCAATGGAAGATATGCATGCCAGGAGGTGGAAGATCTAGAAATCTGGACGCAGGCTCATTGGTAGTGGGGCGACCAATGTTGTTTTCCTGAGATGTCCGAAACTCCAATACTATTTCACCCTGAAAATGAAAAACTAATCCCCGATATGTCTAGGATACCACTACCGGTAAATACCTCAGTTAGCGCCAGTAACTGGAAATTTTGGTAGTTTGGAAGAAGCCTTCTTGGCATGGGATTGTGCAAATAAACACCCAGATCACTGGTAAGATGCCACACATGAGAAAGTCGGTGAAATGCCCTTTGAATATGCTCCATGTAAACAGTGAAGAAATTAGCACGATAATCAGTGTCGGTATGCTGCAAATGAATAACTGAACTTTGCAACAATTAACAGTATAGTAGGCATAGGTGGCAAAGGCGGCAAATGGCATACACAAGTTCCTCAGAAAAAAAAATCACCTCGGCATCGTCTATGTTATAAAGTATTCGGGAGTTCAGTATTCGCTCCAAACGAACCATATGAGGACGGATTCTCTCATATTCATCATGCAAACGTCTCAAAATATACACCAAATCATACGTGATAGCATGTCTAAAAAAAGGAGGTGGTTATATGAATCTGTATCCGAAGCCAAACTATATACCTCATTACATAACCAGGGCTTCCACTTGTTTCTTCAACACGCTGAAAGCGCGCAGCGAGTTCATCAGACTCGTCGATAGCTTCTTCTTCGGTATTAAGTCGATCAACTGCAATGAGCCAGTATATTTTCACTTTAGATTCAAAAAACTATTGAGGGATCCAAACTATTTTGTATAGCCCATACTGAAGTAATAAAGTAAAAGAGTAAGCTTACCAAGACGCGAACGGATCAAAGGCTCTCGTTCAAGCGATAAGGCATCAGCACGGAGTTGTTCATTGAAAACGGTAGTGCTTTCCTCATCATATGTATGGGAGCCGTCGAGAAATTCATCTATCCTATCTGCTATTCCACCCGGCATCTGAAAACCTCCACTTAGTATTTCTTCTTATTCAAACTACAACGTAAATAATGTTACATCACAGAATCAAATTGCTCTAATCTACCTCAACGATCTGATAAAAATGAGCAATATGTTCAAGCAAAGTTTCTATTAGAGCTACACGTTCCAAAGAAGGAGAAGCAACGTGAGGAGTCCTAAATAGGAAAATGCCTTTAAATCATGATACTAATAAACTTCAGTAAGAGAAACTGTAACTTCACAACTGAAATCTCCATCAAGTGGTTGCTTACCTTTGTGAGGGAAGTGATATATGGATGTTGTTGGACTCCCAGTGTGTGGTAATTCTTCTTCGTTGGTCGTTTGTTAAAAAGGTTAATCCATCTAGGGCAGATTGGATCATTTCCTAAGATTTTAAGACTACACGCTCGAAAAAATTCACAGAAAACCAGGCAAGAACAACCTCAATATGAGCATTTTCTGCTAGAATACCACTTCTTTCAAACGGAATCACATATGTTATCCGTTCGCGTCCGTTCATGGGAGAACTGAACATGTTTTGGAAAAAACGACCATGACGATGGTGATTGTGTTGAATGGGATCAATGACGCTGCTTGATTCGCTCCCATGAGGAGGAAAGGGCCTGCAGTAAAGATATACACCTCTTTCCCGAACACAGTGGGACTGAGAAATAAACGACCCACATGTTAGCTGGACGTTCAACTACGTGCACCACATGTCCATCACGTAACCCGCACGCCGACAACGTACTGTTCTCCGCTTTCAGAACATGACCCTGAGAGAATAAGGCCGTGTATAGGCCACGTATATATGTATACCTGTGGCCAACATGTGTAGATGCATGCGTACGTATGCATATACATATAGAAGTAGATACCCATGTACATGTACGTGCATGATACACATAAGTAATGCATATACATATCTCATAAACTTAGTGCCAGAAAAAAAGAGGCACAATGGGCTCATTCTTATAGCAAAAAACCTCACAGCAAAAATCATCCGTTGCCTTTCCGGAGGTATATGGAGACGATCCGCTACTTCGATACGAAAATCTGACAGAAGCATCTAAAAAACAAATATATCAAAGCCCAATTAAAACCAGCATAAGGACAAGATTTCTGAAACTATTCACGCAAAGGATTACGTATGCAACAAGACATTTCACTAACCTGATCATCTACCTCAAAGTGGTGATCCGTCTGATCCATGATTTTGACCCGAATCTTCATCTTCATCGCTTAAAAACTGAAAAATGGAGAATTCATGACCCACAGGACGAAATCAACGAAAAAACGTCAGCTATACATGGTTTGCAATAAAGAATTTATTTCAAATGAAACTAGATTCTGATGGGAAGGAATCACTAGCGATAACATTTGACAAGAAGATGCGGACCACTCATCACTGGCAAGAGCTGTGGAAAACACTAACTGTTCTTAAAAACACACTCCAAGAACAACTAGAACTTCTCTATTTCATTGTATTGTCAACAATGTGACGGGTCGGATCGCCTACAATGCACTAGCGCATTCTGGAAGTTAATTTTGCCGTACGACAAACCATAGAAACAGTCGGCTCTATTCATTGGTTAGTGGCATGTCGTCACGTCGAACCTAATAGATAATCATTTCCGAAGAGTCCCTATTGGAGTGGCGTTTTCCTAGTCATCCCAGGGCTTTTGTTTGCGTTAGCTTAGCGAATAGGCCAGGTTTACGGATTGTGAGGACCCCAGCACAGTCCTGTTCGACTTCGATTTCTGTAGTTGGGAGGGTTTTTTCTTTTCCTGAGCTGAAATAGACGTAGCATGATGTTCATTATCATTTAGCGGTATCATTTAGCGTATATCGATCCTTTCACCGGTGACAGTGCGAAACTTCCCTCTGCTGGACTTGGCTGGGAATGGGTTTTGTTGTATCGTGGTGTGATGATAGACTTTGGTGTTTGGATAGTTGGATGGCCAATCTTCACTAATTGTGTGGGCCCCGGCATCTCTTCCATTTTTTCGGAATTTTGCTGATTTACCTATTGTGGTTCCCTGGAGTCCTGAGATCAATAAAGCCAAAGTCTGCCCCAGGTCGTCACCACCACAGGCAGTCGCCGCCCTTGTGGATCAGAGGGAGATTTACCACCATGCGACTAATTTCATACCACTACGGTGGTGAATCCTGGTACTGGTTTACCTTCAGCTGAGTTCCTGGATAGAAACGTCGGACTCTTTCTCATTTTGGGAGACCCTGCCGCGGGGATGAATCCGTCCGCTGTACATCATCACGGCACTTAAGAACACATCGCAGTTACGATGGTTGGGAGGCTCTGAGAAACTGCTAATTTAATATTAAAGTAGATCTTTGATTCTCGTTCAATCAGTAGCTCCACTGCCCAGCAAGTACGTCGTCAGTATTCCGTTCATCGTGAACCAACACTGTTGTGAACCGAGGCAGTTCAGAGAAAAGTTCACTGCTTCCGATGTCTTTGGCGGGGTTTCGAACTATGGCGACCAAGATCGTCTGCGTTGGAAGGAACTACAAGGATCATGCACTAGAGCTCGGAAATCCCATTCCGAAGAAGCCGCTCCTATTCTTAAAGGTGATATTTGTTCGCTATAGTTTGTATGAATCTCTTTCTATGACCGGTCGTGGCCATCTCTTGAGAGATCCATTGTAGTTGCAGCGTTGTCAGATATGTATTATGTGTTATAAATCTGATTCTGTATAATTGAATGGTCTCCTTTGGAAGATATATTGAACACAACCTCTTACTGTACTTAGAACCTTCTGGAGAATTCTTGATTACTTCTAACAAAAAGATTTGAGCTAAGTGTCATTGTTTAATCATGTTAGTTGTTGCAGTGTCTTAATCTTCTTTTGCTAAGTAACGTTATTACCCCAACCGGGGTACTCCTTAGAACCGTGAGTCATAAACTTTGAGTGTGATTGATTTATTGGAGAGAAGAAAGTCCACTGTTTAACTTTTATTTACTGCTTATTATTTTTTCATAGCAAGGTATTATGTGAAATACAACCACAGTGGATAAATGATAAAGGATAAAGCTCTCGACGTTGATCAGTCCCTGAGGGATGTGCCATCCATGCGACTTCAGTAAGCATCGTTTGGAGGTAATTGAATTCATATCTGGCATTTAGAATGACTCGCGATCTCCTAAGATTGGGCCAGTGCTGCTATCCTCCCAGACAAGTCTAGTACTAATTTGCCGATCCCGGAAGGATGGAAGGCTTACTGGGCCTTGGGCGCTCGGATCGATTCCACGTGTGTGTGTTGCAGAGCGCCTCCGACCACTGCGCTACACGTGCCCTACAACCGCAGTGATATTGAGATATTTGTAAAACTCAGACTCAAGGCCAGATTCGAACTGCGATTATTCTTTTCGAGGGCATTTTGTCCTTCCTTCAAGAAATCCTTCAGAATGATCTTACTTAACGTCCAGGTGAAGACCGGTCTTTGCACACGGGTTATCAACGACCAACATTCATTGCACTTAGCTATTGCATTATATAGAAGCGATGTTAGAAGCAAAATGAAGATGGTGTTGCTGCTGGTCATCCACTTTCATTTTCATGTTGTCACATTCCAAACGTTGCAAGTCGCTACTGAGCTCGAAACGAACTGCGTGATGTGATATCGTCTCGTTGAAGCCTTTTCGTTACTTGACTGGTGACGTCACTGGGAGTGATAAAATTATAGTTGTGAAGTTCCTGTTTAGCAGAAGGGCCTTTATATACGTAGTAGGAACGTCTTGATTACGTAGGGCTTCACTGAGCGCTTTCGTCCCTACTCAATCGAAAATTCGATGGATGTGGGACCAGTTACCAGACGCTCGCTGCGAATTCAAAAATATGACACAAAATAACAAACTTTTCTCGAAACCATGCTTGTTCGTAGGACTCCGTTCGAAACTCCGGCATTCCTTTTAAGATTGGCTTTCAAAGTAGCTTATTAACAATAGACAGGCTGCCGAATTCACGTATGCTTCCCTTTGTATAAACGAACATTCTATTGCTGGTTCTTCATTAATAGGTAGTGTGCACTAATTGTTCAAATACTTGGAAAGCCCATCCTCATATGATGTGCGGACTTCAGCAAATCTTCTATTCGTTTAGTTATCTTTCAGCTGTCATCTTTAAAGGTGCTTGATTTCAGGTGTGAGTTCTATTGGCCGTTTAAGGATCATTCGTTCTCCTACTTCACTGACATATTGAAGGCTTGCCAAGCATGGCTCACTTTGGAATCCGGAGATAGTCGTGCAAAGGTGTTCTCAGGTCTTGGCCAGAGAGATACATTGGGCTCTTCTGAATAGCAGTTCTGTTGCTTTGCGGTTAGGGTTTTTCTAGAACCGCCGCGATTCTCGTGCCAGCAATCGTTCCTCGATCCAGCCAACCAAACGTGGACGATGTAAAAGGCGGAGAAAGAGTAACTCCATAAATTGCATCCTAACAGCTGTCATGTGAAAAACTGAGCCCTTGTTTTTAAGAGTGGGTGGTAGGTTTACTAGGTATTACGGTGTTACCATTACCGGGCTGGTTGATGTACAACACTAAAGTGGGAGCATGATGGCATTTAGAGGGGGAGAATTGCTAGAACAACATGTATATACTCTTTGTGATGCAGGAAACGTAACATGGCTGTTGGAAATCTCGAACTAAATGTCCGGTATGACCATTCTTATTCTCCACGTTCCAGTTGCTATTTGAATTACTTCCTGATCTCGGCAGGTTTTCGAAAGGGAATGTTTGATGTTCATTCATTAAGCTTTTTTAGACGCTTTGTCAGTAGTTGGGTATATAAGACCCAACTGTAGAACTTCGTTTACCATTTTCAGAACTTAGTGCGAAAAGGGAGAAGATTTTGAAGCAGGTATGCGGACTGGCTGACTCATTACAGTTATCTCTTCCGCACATATTGGTGTTCCCATAACCTCACAAAAGATCATGAAATAATAAAGAAGTGCTATTATAGGATACATTCTATCAGGATACCACGGATTTGTAAGACAAGTTGGATCCTTTTCTTCATAGACAAAAAGAACCCTTTAAGATGAAAATGTCTCTGTAGTTTATAAAATTGCTTTTTGGTCAACGAACGCTTTTGTGGAAGAAGGTCATCCAATCGTCACCCCTCCCGGATGCGACAATCTTCATCAAGAAGTGGAACTTGGTGTTGTAATCGGCAAAACTGCAAAGGTTTGGTAGCCATATTAGAATTATTCGTTCCGTTTTACTGGTGACTTAATAAAAATTATGTAGAACGTGCCAAAGAGTGAAGCCATGTTATATGTTGGCGGCTATTCTGTTGCTTTGGACATGACAGCAAGAGACTTCCAGGTTACTTCTATCACATGTAAAGAATAAGTTTTTTCTTTTGATAAACTGTGCTTGATCATCAGCTGTAGTACTCACCTAATGTCACATGAGGCCTAAAGGTTCGATGGGTTCAGCCTGTGTTAGTATGACTCGTATTTGTTAAAAACGACTTCTCTGCGTTTCTTCGTCTCGTGATTCCGATTTTTCTAGGATGAAGCAAAGAAAGCTGGAGCTCCATGGTTCCTTGCGAAATCGTTCGATACGTCATGTCCTGTCTCCAAATTCATCCCTAAAGAGAACGTACTATTTTTGAACAAGTCTATTAAACGAGAACATTTTTATTTCTGCTCCTAGTACCAAGAGTTTCTGCACTGGGCTTATAGCCCAACTAAAAGTGTGCTGGGTGCATTTATTCGATGAAACATCTAGTTTCAGATTGAAGACCCTCATGCAGAGGAGATATTTTGTCTTATCAATGGCGTTGAAAAGCAACGATGTCGAACAGATATGATGATTTTTGATATCCCGACCTTAATAGGATTTGTCACCCGTTTCGTTACTTTGGAAAAAGGCGATCTCTTGTTGACAGGGACCCCTGCTGGTGTCTCCCGAGTTCTACCAGGTGATAGTATCGAGTTTGGATTAACAAACAGAATTACATCTACGTTTGTTGTGCAGTAATGTACTAATGGATAACTTGGTGGAATAAAGATTTCTGTACTCTGGTGCAACTTTATGGCTCTGTATGTTGTAAAACAGGATGGTGGTGAATGTAAACATTTTACGGACTATTTACGCATTGTAGGTTTCGCGCATGTTCAAGAAAAGTAAAAAATGTTATCAGAAGTTTAAATTCCTCGAGATTCCAGCATTTCAAATCTTCATAAGATCTTGGAACAAAGTGGCGATCTGCTCCCGTCTCATCGTGTTCTTAAAAATGAAGTAAAAGGACACTGGTATGACCAAAATTTCTATAACTTCACTAGTTTTTGAGTGACACTTAGCGCACCTATGGTTCAAAATAGTTGAACTGAAATGGGCTTTGCAAGAGAACACAACAGCTCAAGCATCTATATACATGTGTACTTGGATACTTGGATGTCTTCGCTAGTTGTGCGGGCCCGTTTTCACTAGTTAAGCGGACCCCAGCACATTACCTATTGTTTCGGAGTTTTGTTGGTTTAGCCATTGTGGTTCCTTGCAGTCCAGAGGCTAGCCAGGCGAAAGTCTGCCCCAGGTCGTTACAACCCCAAGCAGTCACCACCCTGGTGGATCAGAGGGAAAGTTGCCGCCAAGCGACTAGTTTGATCTCAGGGCAGTGGTGGATCCTTGCAGTAGCTTGGGCTTCCTGATGATTATATATATATATATATATATGTATATATATATATATATTATAATCATATGTATGCATGATATATGATTACACATATATATATATATATATATGTACATATGTACATGTATAATAAATGTCAGAAAAGCCGGTTGAGTGGAGACGCATTGGTGGAAATAGCAGTCCTAAGCTCCCGGTTTTCACGGATACAGTGTGAACCTTACTGATTCGTTCTTATCTGTTCAAATATGTTAGTCTATCCTTGCGATATCAGAAGGTAAGGTGCACACCATACATGCATCAAGCATGAATGGTGAGATTAGGAACCCTTACATTCACTCTCAAGGAGGAGTCACTCAGAGCAACCCGCCTTACGTCTTCTACCGTAATTCCATAGACATCCATCTTAAACAAAAACACTATCGTGGAGTCTGTGAGTGCCAAGTGTAAGTTTATCACTCTGTCACCACATGTCGCTCTATTTCCAGCGACTCTGATAACATGTGCTAACGGGGCTACATAATCCATTTGTGTCTGCAAAAAATTTCCTTTTATATGTGACTCATGAGACAAAGTTGGCGGATGAACTGGAAAGCTACGTTATTCAGAGCCGAGTTAGTAAATGAGAGTAGAGTTTTCTTAAGAGAAGGAAGTCGAGCGACATGTAAGCTTTTCACTACACAGGAAGCTTTTTCACCAATTTGTCCCTCACTATGGATTGGATGTGTTGACTGACCAAAAGTGAGGGGTGGATTGGTGAAAGGTAGCATGGAACGTCTGCATTCTAAGAAAGAGTCCTTCTTTCAGAGAACTATGGTCGGAAGACTTCTATACCACCGTGGTTATAACTTTCACTGCTCTTGTGATGGGCACGTTAACCGTACTTTATTTCTGGGCAGGTCATATCTTTGAAATCAAGAGTGGGTGTTCCGATGAGATCTTATACACTGGAATTAGATTCCTAGCCATACATTTCCATCAAGATGTTCCTCTTCTTCAGAACCACAAACGCTTTCGAGGTCGCAGTGATTCCAAAAGAAGGCGGTGGCGCCAACTAGCGCTTTTGGGTGCTACCCCATTCATGACTAAAACTTTTACCGGTTTCGAGATATGTGTTTCATTATGTAAACCTAGGTTCCCTATACTCTGCAACATCCTTCATATGTTTCTCCTTAAGGCCTTAAGGTCGTCATCGATGCGGTCTAACATACTGAGTTCCCTCCAGCTTACTTATTTCATTTCAAAACCCTTGTATCTGGCGGAGAGTTGTTGACGCCTGTAATAAAAATGCTTAACAAATGTTGTGACGACTGTCGATGTTCTTAGAATACGTCTTTATCAACCGCCCTAGTATGGCTTGTTGCAAAAGTACTTATGGATTGAGCAGCAAATTTTGGATTATAGGTAAATCGAACCCAATTCTATTCGTAAAAATAAGAACCATTGGGATCTACACCATTTGTTGAACAAGATACCAACTTGTTTGTCCCAGTAACCTAAAATTATGAAGGTCTGGAAGTGGAGAATCCTTTGGATGCATCTCCTACACGGAACCCTAGGAAGAATACGTGCATTCTGTCTCTGGAAACCCCTATCTAACCCATGGTTTAGTGAAGTGCAACTGGTGAAGTGATGTGTAGAAGTGAGGTGAAGCTATTGGACCCATGTTGTTCAATTATACAAATCTCTTATTGTATGCATCCCTTCTCTTCAATTTCTGGCGTTTGTAGTCCACAAAGTATTGAAGGCCTAGGGTCCCACACAAAGCCCAAGTCTTCGAAACACCGATTACCTCAGCGATAGTTGAAGGCGGGTTCCACAAAAAGCCTGTCTTCGAAACATCGATGACCTCAGTGACAGAAGATGACCCTTTTGCGAACGAGTACCGATGGAACAAACTGGTTACTTGTTCGTCTTTCGTTCTGAACTATCATAACACAAAGTGCCACTGCAGTAACCTTACCTTAGTACGCTTGAGATACCCCTGCTCTCGTTCGTCCCGGAAGAGGGAGGACGAGTGCTCCCGAGTGGAACGGATGGCGTACGATGCACTGTGGCATGGAGTTATGCGGATCGCCGTTTGGGTGTCGCCTTCGCCAAGATTCCTATGTTTCCACTTATACATTCTATTGAACGTGGTCTTCTTCCTGTTCATTGTTACCTCCTAACGCTTGATGTGATGTGAGTTCTATTCCGTGCCGGAATTTCAGTTTTCATCAAATGGGAAAACTCCTTTCAAAGATCTTCGGCAAGAAGGAGATGAGGATATTAATGCTCGGACTTGACGCAGCCGGCAAAACAAGTAGGTAAAAGTTTCAATAACTGGTCGTCGGTACAACCTTGAGTCTTGTTAAGGGATTTTGGGATATTGTGACATCCTAGAATGAAATCATTCGCTGTAATTCCTGATCAGTACTTCCATTCTTCAGCTATCTTGTACAAATTGAAGCTTGGTCAGTCCGTGACGACAATCCCCACGGTAGGCTTCAATGTGGAAACAGTGACATATAAGAATGTAAAGTTCAATGTTTGGGTGGGTCTTCAGCGTTTGTGTTTCTCTCTATGTCAGACTAAACGTCATCCTTCTCTCACAGTTCCTTAAACTGTTTCCTTAACGTCGCTAAGTTAATCAGTAATTCTTCCATACTGTTAAGCTTTCAGGACGTTGGAGGTCAGGATAAAATTCGTCCTTTATGGCGGCATTACTACACTGGCACTCAAGCACTGATCTTCGTTTTGGATGCTGCAGACAGAGATAGGTGATCTCCTGTCTTTCTTGTTTTCGATGCTTCTTAAAACTGTTAAATGTCGTTTTTCTGGTCGATTTTCACCCCTTTTTTTCCTTGCTTTTTCCCTTGTTTCCTCTGTAATTAACTACTATAGACATGCTGACATAGAATTAATTTATCGAGGTACCTTTTGGTTGTTTTGTTTTGCGGTTCTTCCTTTTTTCTGAATACCAAACTCAGATCAGATTTCCAGTTAGTTCCTTCACAGAATCATGACCGATCTGTCGCTGAAAGGAGATGGTTTTTGAGCGATGTTTGAACAAAAATAAGTGCGAATTTTACCAACTTAGTTAGAATTCGGGTTCAAATACTAAAGCTTGTTATAAAGCCCTTTATATCATTTCCCAGATCTTTATTTTTCTTGTTGCAAACTGTTGTATTTTATGACCACTGAACATAATTGGATACTTGGATGGCTCGTCCTCACTGATTGTGCGCCCCCCCCCCCCCCCCCCCCAACATGACTTTAGTTCTTCCGAGACTTGCTAGTTTAACCATTGTGGTCCCGGGAGTCCCGAGATCAGCCAGGCCAAAGTCTGTCCCGGTCGTCACCATCACAGCCAGTCGCCACCCTTGTGGATCAGAGGGATATTTGCCATCATGCGACTAGTTTGGTACTAGCACGGTGGTGAATCCTGGTATTGGTTTCCTCTTAGTTGGACTTTTTGATGGAAACGCCGGACTCCATCTCAGACTGGTAGACCTTGCTGGACGATGAATCCCTTCGCTGTACATCGCAGTGCGACACCCAGGAACACTTCTTAGCCACCATGAGGCGGTAAGCCGTTGTGAGGACCACTGGGCATGAATATTATAATTCTAAAAGCAATTCTTGTTTTTAGCCAGTCTTAACTTAGAGTTTCATGTGCGTGGTTTTCTTTCTCGACTATCATTTCGCAGGTCTCCTTTAATGAAATTACGTCACCAAATTAAACGAAGTGGACATGAGTATTCTTTCTTCATCATTGGCTTTCTTCCTCCATTCAAGCAATCGCATGTATTGCAATGCAGCGACGTAGAATTTTATCATCGTTGCCTTAATGCCTTTTACTTAATTTAGATTTAGAACTCCTGACAGGAGAATTGTCCTGACGTGGTATTTTAAGTGACTGTCAACAAATTCAATGTTTAATGTTGCTATCTAATGTGGCAGAACAGCGTTTACTTGATTTGCAGGTCTTTTCCTTATCCAAGAAGAACCACAATGAGAGCAGGTAGTACTTAAATCAGACCTCATCTGTTGAATAGGGGTAGAATGTGCTGAAACAGCATGAATTTGTGAAAATATTTATGCAGTTTTTGCTACTTCTCGTTGCCATCTCGTTGCGCAGTTATATTTTATTCCCTTCATCCAGCGACAGTGCTTTTTGTATACCTTATTGCCCGCACATTTTTTTTTAGTAAGAGATCACTCGAGTTTGAAAATATTGTGGTCCGTCTTCGATCCAGAGAACGTTTGCTTATGATATTGAAACCATGTGGCTAGGAAATGTGTGTTGTTCTTTTATGAGCAGTACGACGACATCGTTTATTTTCTGTTAAGGGTTTCTGTGTGTCGGTGTGAAATGTACTTCTTGAAAAAGCTTTCTGAAAAGGCTTCCGCCGTTTTTCTCTGCTCTTATTTCATATTTTTCACGTTCCATAGTTACGTTATCCACTCCACTCTACAGTGCTTGCTTGATTTTCAGTAAGATATTTGGTGATTGACAATATTTGTCATTTATGACCTTCAGTCTACATTTGTAATCAGTATTTGATAGCAGTAATAACTTAACTGCAATGACACTGAGATATTTTCAAAACTTTGGGCCGTAGGTGTCTGTGGTGGGAATCGAACACGCTATCACCCTTTAAAAACATGGCTGAGAGAAGGATGAAACGAGCGACACCCATGGTGTGGTGGTGAACTCGTTCGTCGCCAGAAAGGGTAATATCGTGTTAATTCCCCGCCGCCGACACCTGAGGTCAGGAGTTTTACGAATATCCCAGCATCGTTATAGCAGAAATAACTTGGTTTAAAATTCACCCATGAAACGTTTGCACGAAGATACCACGAAAACAATCTCACTATGATTTCATGAGGAACCCATCTGTCCAACGGCTATTAATATTAGGTTTTATTTCAGTTAGTCAATATAAGACTGGTCTGAGTTCGTGTTGATAAATAACGTTGATGAATCTCTGTCATCATGGGTAGAGTTAATTTATTGAAATTTGTTAAAAAATAAAAGGATAGAGCTCTCGGCGTTGATCAATCCCTGAGAGATGTGCCATGTATTCGACTTCATTAAGCATCGTTGGAGGCGAATGAATGCATATCCGGCTTTTACAATGACTCACGGTCGCCTGCTTGTATCGAGCCAAAGCTTCTATCCTCCCAGACAAGTCTGATACCAATTTACCGACACCGGAAAGGAGAGAGGGCTTGGTGAACCTGGGACGCGGGGATCAATCCCATGTGTATTGCAGGGCACTTCCGACCACTGTGTTACACGCTCCCCTAATTTGTCAATTCTTAATTTCAAAAGATCTTTTCGAATTTGAAACTGAAGTCGTTTTTCACTCGAGCTTGTACTGGGTTTATACTACAATTTTTTCCCCCACGAGGTTGATGTTTTCTACATGATAGTTGTACCTGGCCAATACGCTAGTCATTTTTTATGCAATCGGTTTTAGAATTGATGAGGCGCGAGTTGAGCTTCACCGTATAATAAACGACCGAGAAATGAAAGATGCGATTATTCTGGTCTTTGCCAACAAGCAGGATTTGCCTGACGGTTAGTTTTTTTTTTTGGTTTGATTTTCAGAAGTTTTCATACTCTGTGGTTTTTTGTTAAGAGGTAATTGCTCTAAGTCATATCTTCTTTGTGTTGTCATAGTTAAGGAAGTTTGCTGGTTATATATTATGTCTCAAGAGTTACCTGCAATGGTCGTTTTTCGTTGTGATAGTAAATTTCAGCAATGAAACCACATGAAATCCAAGATAAATTGGGTTTGACACGAATCCGCGATAGGAACTGGTATGTACAACCAACCTGTGCTGCAGCTGGAGACGGATTACATGAAGGACTTTCCTGGCTTAGCAGTAACTGCAAACACTAGCCTTTAAGTATCGATTATGAAAATTATTCTTGTTATTACTTGAACATCTGGCTTATTTTCGTTATTGGTTCGAAAAGTCCTGTTTCTTACTTACATCCTGGTAAGGACCATGACTACAATATTCAACGGCTGGACCGTTTGTATATGTGTATTAAATCAGATTTCAGTTTGACCAGTGTATCGTCTTCATGTCTGAAAGAGATATTCCAAACAGTCAAGAATGAGCTCCCACTTTGTTTAGTGATGTACATTGGTGCTACTTTACAGACTATCTGATGCATATGGAAGACTAGCAATACTTTTTAAGTCCATGTGCGTTCTGTAGTCTTACCAAGTGCTGTCCATTTCGCCTTCAGACTAATCGTGTCGCTACAATGTTTAACCTGTGATACCTTGTATCGGCTGGACAAGTGCATTGCAAAGTCCTCGTAAGGCCCATCATATTTCCGTGTGTTACTTGTTACTTTTAGATTTCATTGGGTTTTTGTCGCAGTTTCCCTAGTGGATCACTGGATCGCTGTTCCGAAGCTTTCGTAGTATCAGGTTTCTGGCAGTAGTTTGTTGTTGCAGAGGCTTTTGTTTCTTGGTTATTTTTATGATCTGATGTACTTGAAGGAATCCGAATAGCATAAACATATCGAATGTTGGTGTGTGTAATCAGTTCTGTTTTTTCATTGACTACCGTAGGGTTAGCGCTATATTCACTCTAAGTGTTATAGTTGCGCAGGGTACATCGCTGTCATGCAAGTTTATGAGTACGAAAGCACCTCTTCTGGCAGCTTAGATATACCTGATGGTTAGCAAAGTAACCTTTCTTCTAACTACTATTTTTGGAGCTGCACAAATTGGGTAAATGTTGCATTATAGGGCATGAGTTAGCACGATTTATAGTTCTTTACGCAAAGGTATCAACAAGGAAGCATAAAAGGTGGGAAGGAGATGGGATCCTGCTGTGCTATGCCAATCAAGCTGTGCTGAAGTCAGAGGACGAGAAAGACGTGATAAGCAGGTAAGCATGGTTGAAAAAGTTCTGTATGCCTAAGGCAACGCAAGAAGTTGGCGAGGTTTGTTTAGTTATAGTTGTCTATAATGCCAGTGCAAGGTCGTGTGCACCTTTAAGGGCGGCAAATTGGTAACAAGTAGGCCGCCTCGGGTCATCGTTATGGGCAGATAATGCATTTAATCACCTTCAACGATTCTTGGTGAAGTCAGATGCATGCCCCATCCCTCGGATTGATCAGCGCCAAGAGCTTTATCCTTTGTTTATCATTTAGTAATTCCAGTGACAGTCTGACAATAACTACAAATGTTTCCAGTCGCTCTAACCGAAGAATGATCTTTGGTTTCAGTGCACATGGAAAACTCCTGTAATGCTAGAATTGCTGTACCCTCGAGCTCGTTGTTATCATTTCTAGGAGTGCCAGTTTTATTTTCCGTGCAGAAGAAAATACAAGAGAGTCCTATCCGATAAAATGCACAAGACATAGAACGCCGGTAACGATAGAAATCAATGTTCTCAGAGTTTTTGCAGGGAAATCTTGGATATTATGAAATGCTTATGTGTGGGTTGATAATATACTGAAGTTCTCGATAAAAAGCACAGGGCATATATGGTCAATCCATTTTCCGTGTTTTCCATTTTCACTATTTTTTTGTCATTCTTTATCCATGTAGAAATCCATAACAACCTCGAAGTTTTATGAGGGACCAGACAAGGTTTTATAGAAAATACTAGATCAAATGCCTGATTATACTTTGTCCATGTGCTGTGCAAGTTGATTACGTCTTAGCGTGCCCATATATGAAGAGATGTGGCAGTCAGTAGTAAGCTTCCCTTAAACATGTTCCTAATTTTTCTGTTAATTTGGCTCATATTTCTACCCTGTGACTATGGAACTTGGTAATTTCCAAATTCCTCCCAACGATTTACCTCCTCACCGTGGCTGAGAGGTGTTCATGAGTGTCTGGGTGCGATGTACAGCGGGGTGGTTCATCTCCCCAGCAGGGTCTCCCAAGGTGAGAAGGAGTCCGAAGTTTCCATCAGGAGGCCTAGCTAATCTCAGCTAGGAATAAACAAATAAGGGGACTAGCCACCGTCCAGGTATCAAACTAGTCGCATGATGGCAAACCTCCCTCTGATCAACGAAGGCGGTGACTGCCTGTGGTGGTGACGACCTGGAGCAGACTTTGGCCTAGGTGACTTCGGGTCTTCAGGGAAACAGTGGCTAAACCAGTAAATCTCCGGGAAGTGGAAATTGTTCTTGGGTCCGCACAACCAGCGAAAACAGGCATTCCAAGTATACAAGTAAGACTATAGAACCATGTATGATGCCAATTGTTCACATTTTTAAACATTTGGTTTGCATAGAAGTGTCTAAACTCAGAGGGAAAGTTTTTATGATCACGGCGGGAGAACTTCTCTAGTCAGTATAATTTGAATTTCTAAGTTCTATTATGTTTTCTGTTAGGTTTTGTTTGTTGTTGTATATTCACCGTTATGAACCTACTACCACTTGCAATTTAAGATTTCACGTGGTAAAACTCTGTGCTCCTTAGTATGAGTAATGGATGGTCTATACTGTTCGCAAAAAATATAGTTCTTCCTCGTTTTGAACCTTATACATTTTAGTAAACGCTGCACTTTTGCATCCTAGATTCGGTAAAAATGCTTACTTATTGTAGGTCAACTTCGATAAAATGTATTAATGACTTACAAAATGGAAGGGAATTGAAAATTGGCTCATGGGAAGTACAAATCCAAGAGCGAGTGGCCACACGAGACGTTCCCGGTTCGTCATTTAGCTCCTCATGTGGTTCGAAATTGCTTAACATAAGAATTTTAAATGTCTTTTTTAGCAATTTCCTCTACGGGTCATGTAGGTTATGTTCAAATGTCTTCTTCGGAACGAGATGTTAACACATCTTCCGCTTATGAAAGTGGATTATCTAAACTTACAGTGACTGAAAGCAGTTTGAAAGTGGAACACAGCGACAATGGCAATATTCCTTACAGAAGTTTTCGCAAGAAATTCAAATGTCCGTTATCTGAAAATCCAGATTCTTTAGCCGAGGTGAGTAGATGTTCCCAGTGGCTGACTATCTATCCGAATACGCTCTCACATTTATAAGGAAAACAAGTTTCCCGTTATGTAACTTGCTAAAGTAAGCCTAAAGTTTTCTCATAATAGGAAATAACATGGATTTAATAACATTCACTTCTTCTAAGGATTCTGTCAGTTCACAGGTTCACAGTTGTCAGGATTCTTGTACACATTTGTCTTGTTCTCAAGTAGTTATTCTGTTAAGGGACCAGCATTTGTTATAAACGAGGACCGAGTTGGGAATTTTGGTGAAGAGCCTATCGTTGCAGATCCCCGTGTGAGTAGGCATTTGAGAACTCATCAGAAAGAAGGAGTGCGATTCATATTTTCTGCCTTGAAGGTAAGGAAGTGAATTCAATCTGGTCAATTCGTTTGTGGATATTGAAGGGTCTCTAATTCATTTAGGACGGACATGGCGTTATTCTGGCTGATGAAATGGGTCTTGGCAAAAGTATTCAGGCTATCGTGGCAACAATGGCATTATTAAAGCAGCAATCGGTTACTAAACTTTTGAATAGTTGAAGCAGATATTACATATTGAGTGTACTCAGAAGGAAAAAATACCTTTTTAACTTATTTTTGAAAAAAGTTTGCTAAACATAGTGGACTTTCTCCGTGTTTGAAATAAGTTTAAGAAAAACCGTGAAACTTACTCTGTTGCTTAGTATTCAAGGAGCAAACATGAAAAATTCAGAAATCATTTAGCATTCAAGCCAATGCGTCCTAAAGAAGTGCCTACTTGTTGTTCCATCGTCGTTAGTATCTAACTGGAAATGCGAGTTTCGTAAGTGGTTCCATGGGGCCAGACTTCCGGTAAGTTTTTTTCTGAACGTAGATTCTTCCTTATCAATCTGCTCAGAATCTTTCTGATTCAATATTTTCAGTGATCTTGTCTCAGAATGTGAAGTTATAACTCGTTGTTAATGGTTTTTCCGTTTAAATTAACCCCTTTTCTAGGTTATTGCCGTGAGGCGTGCGTCAGACATAAGCAGCTATGCCTGCTCTTTCAGCGCCTATCCATACCTTATAATCAGTTATGAAATGGCGTTAAGGTGAGAATTATTGGATTTGCTTATGCGTGTTAAGATCTCTGCATTTATTAAGGCTGTTTAAATAATTACCCTTAGATAGTACATTCAGTTTGCTTGGTCTTAGGTATTCTGCAAAACTGGCATCGATACGGTTCGACATATTAGTCTGCGACGAAGGACATCGTCTAAAGAATGTTGACACTAAGCTTCGACAAACTGTACGTGCTTAACGTCTGATGTGATGTCATCATTTTGCTTCCATAGTGTCTGTAACTCTGCTACGACACTGTTTTCATTTGAAAAGAAAGTGACCATATACTTTTATTTCTATACAAATGATGATGGGCAGAATGGAACATATCCTTGGTTTCAAAGGGTATTCTTTCCGACTATTTTGCCACAAGCAATTATTTGCTGTGCTTTTATATCCAGTCACTAGCTTCACCAACATCGCTCGCGCAAACTTGCTACGAAAGAAGCCACGCTACTCTACATGTAATAATTTTTTTATTTTATTTTTACTTTACCTGTCCTTACGTCTAGTGTGCGGATCCCAGCCCTCCCCACATTCGATTCGTTCTCTCGCACCCATTGTCCACGAAATTTTTCCAATTTTTATGTGTGGCTTCAGCTGCTCATTGAAGATTATTATTTCATCTTGAGTATTGTAGAGTCGATTGCTGGTCGAGTCGATTTTCCCTGGAGTCTTGAGATAGCTGGAGCGTTCCCAGTTGGAATGCAGAGTTATTTTTTCCTGAGCAAGTTCGATACTAATTTCCCGACGCCGGAGGAATGAGAGGCTTGGTTGGCCCGGAGCGGAATCGAACAAGCGCCATACGTGTGATGACGGACATCACTGCCACTGTGCTATGCGCTCCCTATGAAAAAAGAATAGAGATAAATGTAAAAAAACTGGACATCCTATTTTAATTGCCCAGGTTTCATAGTTGCGCAAGTTTACTTTCTTTTCTGAAAGCTGTATGTTAGTGAAATGAGTCTAGCAACCTTGCGAATAAATATGCAGAGACAAAGTGGTTCAGGTTTCCTCTAAGTCTGTACTTTTTCAGCTCGACTGTCTAGCGATTGGTCGTCGTTTGCTACTCACAGGAACTCCTATTCAAAATGACATCAAGGAATTCTTCTCTCTTCTCAACTTTGTGCGCCCAAATCTGTTTGATAACTTTGCGGATTTCAAAACAATGTGCTGCAATGAGGCGAGTGGAACGTGATACAGAATTCATTTGTATTTTACTAAAAGATTTCTCTGTTTTTTAGGCTGAGGCTGTAAGCGAGAAATTTTCGAATTGTTTCCTAAGAAGGACAAGCAGAATTAACAACTTACATCTACCCAACAAAAGTTCGTAAGAATAATTTTCATGAAGTGCTTCATGTTTTGAAAACGAAAAGTGCTGTGGACGTTAACCGTTCCGACTTACAGATGACTATATTCTCTTCTGTGCTCCATCGCTAGTACAAAAAAGTGTTCTTGCTTCGTTATGTGCTTTTATGAATGAAGAACCTTTCGTACTGATCGATATGATGAGGAAGGTGTCAAATCATCCAGCTATTCTTTTCAAGAAGATCTCTCTGGCCAGAAATAAGGTTCTTGCTTCGAAGATGTAGCTCTTTCATTTTGAACATAGCTTAAAAACCGATATTCAGAATACTGGCACGGACTTTTCGCAGTTGCTCAGAGCTTTTCCAGAGGATTATGGAAATCAACCAGTAAACATTGCTGATTCTGGTATGATTTGTATTCGTTACAAAAGGATTTTTGTCACTTTTTTGCCCTTCTGCTTTTCGAAGCCTAGCATCACATAAAATGTGAAGATCGCAACACTTTCATTCGGTTCGTTTACTTGAATCCCTGTTCCACGAAGGTCTTCGGATTATTTCTTGTAGATTCGGGTTGCTTCTTAAAGGTTTTTCCTCTCCTTCTAATCAGGCGGCGGTCGAGTCAATTATCTCTAGAATTCTGGAAAGGTGTGCAAGGGCGTTCCCAAATCTTCACCATAGGCAATCACCAGTTTATTGTCCCTTGGATACTGCTGATGCCAGATTAGTTTGGTAACAACTTTCCAACCCGTAACCGTTTTGAAGAGTGGTTGACCAAGCACTGGGTTGAACCAGGGTCTTGTGCATGTTCAACAACGTCACTAGCACTTACTACTCGCGTTTTAAAAACTAAAAAAACTAATGGAAAATGTATTTCAAAAGATTTATCTAGGTAAACTGAGCGTCTTTGTCGAAATGATGGCATGTTTTCGTCAAATGAAGGAATGTGTGGTTGTTATATCAAACTTTACAAAGGTATGTTGTAAAAATCGTATTAGCCTTTTCAGTGGGATTATTTCTAGTTGTATCACAGAGGACGGTGTCGTTATAATTTTTTTCATAGACCTTAGATATGCTCTCCTCGTTGTGTCGCTCCCTTGGGTTTTGCGTTTTGAGACTGGATGGCCAAACGCCTGTATCAACTAGGCAAGAGATTGTGAAACATTTCAATACAGAAGGAAATCCTGAAAATGTTTTTTTGTTAAGCACAAAAGCAGGTCTGTCTTTTTTGTTATTAAATGCTCTCAGACTTATTCTCCTTCGCCTTCCTCTTAGAATTAATTGTTCCAGGAGGGGTGGGTTTAAATTTGACTGGTGCTTCGCGATTGATTCTCTTTGATTTGGACTGGAATCCAGCCACAGATATGCAAGCAATGGGGAGAATATGGAGAGATGGCCAAGAGAAAGACTGTCACATATACAGACTTGTCACTGCTGTGAGTTCACCTATGCAGTAAATCTGAAGGACATAACTAGGATATTGTTTTTGATGTCAATTTGATGGTAGCGTTCTCTGCTGTGCTCATTTGGTCAGGATTCGGGATTTTGCGGATTAATCCAGAGAACAAAAGGTTTTATTGGTGCCCACTCGAGTTACTCGACGATCAACGTGACGACAGGCGACAGGGGACAGGTGAAAGGCCACCAAACTGCCGGTATTACCTTCTTTTTGGTGCAAATTCGACTTTGAATACCTTAGCGGGCTTCGTCTCTTCAAATCATTATCACGTGCATCGGTAATTGTATGGAATCCACTTCCATTCTGCGGTTTCCGATGCGATCTATTGACGATCTTTTTTATTCATTTCTTGTGGTACCTATTTATTGCGCTTTTTGGGCTACTCCATTGTTTTTTTGCTTTTCTAATGTCTGACAAATGGTGAATGGTTGTTCAATGCCTAAATGGAGTTCTGCAACCGATCGAGTGGTTTTCTGATGTGGAACTCCGATTACTGCGTCCAGGTGATTGTCGTCAACTGCTGATCTACATCCATGACATTCTTTATCGAGACACGTATTTGGTTGACAACTTTTCTCACCGTTTGTATCGTTGTTTTCAGATGCGCTCTCTTAGCTCATGTTAAATAACTTTTTGAGTTCCTTCCACAGAACTTCGTTCAAACTCACAGAAAAACCGTACCATGACCCCTCCTTGAAATCAACATCTTGATAAGCTTGCAGCTTCTGGAAATTAAGTGCTAAGGAAAGTTCCTTTAAATGTTCAGATTATAAAGGAACGTGCTCTACATCTCTTAGGCTACAATACAAATAGCACTTCCTTCGGAAAACATATTTTTGAAGTCAAAGGTAAAGTCTGCTTTTATATTAACTTGATATAACATATACAGGTGCTGATTCGTGAGGACCGTTTACATTAAGGGGCGTCAAAAGATCTCATTTGAGCTGTTAAATCGTTCAAGGTTGTGAACAGTCGTCATATTAGGGAAACCAAGAGTCAACTAGACTGTGGTATGTTCTCAGTGTTGTTCGAGCTGCCCCGGTTAATGTCTTCGTCAAAATTGGCTCTCCATCGAGATCGAGGCATGTTGCCGAAGTGTTCGGACTAAGTCGCGTTGTCCATTCGTTAGTTAGTACACGGAGGCTGTTCAGTAATTGTTGTTCTTGTTCGTAGTATTTAAAGAAAATGGAAATCATTAATAACCTGCGGTACCAAACTAAGGTGTTATCGACTACAATACCGTCGCAACTAAAGTAAGAACCTTATTCACACGACCTACTTTATATTAACCTCGGCTTTGGTCAAATAACTCTCGATATTCTTATTCAGTAAACATTACGTGTTATTTTACTCCTTATTCCGTTAAAGCTGACGTTTCGGCAGTATCGTCTTCAGAGCCTGCAAGGATATTGGAAGGTTTCAAAAGAAATATTGGAACCTCTCAACAAGAGTAAGTTTCGAGGCTTTGAAGGTGATATTGCCGAAACGTTAGCATTAACGGAATAAAGAATAAAGTAACACCTCTTGTTTGCTCAACAAGAATATCGAGAATTGTTTAAGCACCTTATCTCAAGCTCATTATGAACAGTATTTGTTTGCAGTTATTTTGTACATAATCTGGAATCCGTTTAGGGAACAGTGGATGAGAAAATTCTTCACCGGCAAATAAAGAAAACTGGACTTAATTCTATGATCATTCCGAATGAACAAAGTTGTTAGTCATTTGTTTTTATAGTAGTTGTGTAACCATTTCTTGTAAGTCTGCTCCTAGTCACTTTACAGTTAAAACCACTTGGCTTGACAACGAACTCCAGGATGTTTTCACGTTGAGAGATACTCAGTGTGAGACACACGATTTACTCAATTGTGATTGTGATGGCCAAGGGAGTCTACCAAGTGGTGTTAACTATGTTACAGGTAACGATATTTAACCCATTCAGAAATTGGTAGTGGGATTCCTAACTCACTTTGTACCCCTTATCACTTGTTCAAAACACCATAAGAGTGTAAGTTTTTGGTGGTCGTTACATGCTTCCTCTAATTTTCCACGGTAATATTTTGCAAAATCCATCACTACCTATCGCATGACTTCATATAATCCCTGCGTTTCTTCTTGATTTGATTTAAACTATGTATTATAAAGTTCAGCCGTAACTTCTAGAAAACGTCAACAGTTGTTTACATCATAAACGATCATTCCCACACTTCGCGTTTGCAAACATATTACATGGTTTGCGTACGTGAATTTGATGCTCCTTACTTTTTTTTTCTTAGAAATTTACTAGAAAAAACTCATCGTTCAGTTTTTTCCTCAGGAATTGGACAACATCCTTTAGGCGTTCATACGGAAGATGTGGCACATTTTTGCTCTGACAAAAGGCAAACCGAAGACAAAAAGGAGGTCGAAACTGCCAGTGATTTTCACGCTGCTGTCGTTGATAATGACGATGAGGTTGGCCACTTAGAAACTATTCGTTCTTTGGTTTCGTTATTTATTTGACGCGAAACCTTGGACACAGTACCATAAATGTATAGGATGAAATAGGAGTTGTGATTTATATTTTTACTTGAGTTTTTGCGTTTTATGTAGCATAAACCTATTTATTATCTAGAATGAAAACGGCTTCTAATTATAATTTTATAACTGCTTAGATACTTGGATGGCGCGCCCTCACTGGACGTGCGGGCCCCAGCAAAATTTCCACTTTTCGGACTTTCTAGCTTACCAACGGTTTACCGCCTTATCGTGACTGGTCGGTGTTCCTGAAGGTCGGGACAACAGGGATTCATCCTCTAGGCAGGGTTTTCCAAGCTGAGAAAGAGTCCTGCGTTCCCATCGGGAAGCCCAGTTAAGCGAAAACCAACACTAGGATTCAGCACCGTGCTGGTATCAAACTAGTCACATGATGGCAAATTTCATCTGTTCCACAAAGGTGGCGACTGCCTGTGGTGGTGACAACCTGGGGTAGACTTTGGCCAGGCTGACTTAAGGACTCCAGAGAACCACAATGGCTATGGCAGCAAAGATCCGAATATAATGTTATATACGTGTAATATTATATCGTGTATAATATTGTATATATATAACGATATATAACAATGTAACTCTAATTAATTACAGGTGTTTTTAACAGAAGTCAAGCGTATTTATCCTGGCTTATTCATTTTGTTTCAGTTATTCTTGATGACTGAGCTATTTCGATGGCATCACTACTCACCAAGTCATACGGAAACTTGGACGCATTTCAAGTCCATAGCGGGATTAAGGGACTTGCCCTTTAATGACCTCACATTTGCATTTCATTTATCGAGCAAATTTTGACTTTATCCCTGTCATTCGTCGACACACAACTAACTTAGTCCGCTATTTGAACAACATTGCTGGAGAGCGCGTCTTTCACTTACAGTGTCTTCAAGCAGAATTCGTCTGCTGTTTATTTATTAAATGTTTAACACGTTATTTATCTAGAAGGTGTCCACTTTATTCATATTGTTGAAACTTTTTTCTGTAAATGACTTGTCATCATTCTGAATGACAGATCACCTTGTATATTTATAACACCAGCAGCCGTGTACCAATAATCCGCTAGTATATCAGTATCATATTGCCATATTTGTAGGTTTCTATTCGTGCAACACTCCCGACGACTGGGACCTATAAGTGTCATAATGGTTTTGCGGGAGTCCGGTATGATATCCACAGTTTCCTTTTTCTGTTTCATTGTTTCCGGTACTTTATTTTGACCCATAGAACTACTGACCTAAATTTTGTGTTGTCATTTGATAGCTTGTAGAACACAAATACTGTGGAAGCAAATGGAAATATACAGAAAATCGTGTTCTGACAGTGTTCACTGACTAGAAATTTGGATGCAGATCGACCAATATTTCAATTTTAATTACTCTAGTGAATGGTAGTTACCGTATAGACTGAGCGGGTATAAAAGTATTGAAATGAAGACCTACAAGTTGCAAAACACTTCCAATTGCTGACAGTGTGATGAGCCATGGTAACATATAGTAAACAGCACCATAAATATCATTTATATCCAAAAGTTGATAGAGCAAAGCCTTCTCTACAATGCGTTCACGTTGAGACCGCATAAAGTCCTCTAGTTATTGAAGAGTTACTATTCACTTTGAGAAAATCTGCAAGTCCATAAACGTTGAAAATTTGCCCTTGTCGACAGAGTGTTGAGTTCCACTGTCATGTTGAGACTCTTGCAAAACTTGGAACTTAAGCCAGATTCCAACACGTGTTACCCACTTCGCCATTGAGGCCTTTGCTTTGATTTTCTGTCAGCTAACATCCTAGGATGCTGAGCTATTCGCAAAATTTGGACCCCGGGACAGGTCGAACCACGATTTCCCATTCCGGGGGTTCGCGTACTACATGCTGCGCCACAGAGGCCCTTGCTCTGCGTTTCTCTCAGATAGTTTTCTATCTAAGGGTACCATCAGCAATCACGCGTCAAAGGAATGATCTGGGTAGCACAAATTGGCACTGAACCCAGTTAAGCTAGGGGTGTAGTCGAAGTCACAGTTTGCTTCTTATTAACTGTCTACTGTTATTACTTTTTCCTATAAAATCGTACCCTGGGCTGAGAAAGGTCCTGAGTTTTGCTCATACTGTAGCATACATATGTTGTAGTTCACATCATAACCTGCCATGAAGAAAGAAGAGGCGGTGAATAAAAATTAAGAGAATATAGATTTGACCAGGTAACATACCCAAAAATCCTTCGTTCTGTTAATGAGCAAATACGAGGTTCTTATTACGCAACTTGTCAACTATGGCTGATGTTTCGGCGGTTTCGGCTTCACAACCTGAAAGGGCCAATTAACTGGCCAATTAACCAATTACTCAATAAAATATTTTCATAAGCTTAGCAGACAAACCTGTATGGGACATGGCTTGAAAGTCGGTGTCGGGAAACGAGACTTCATTTTTACTAGACTTATATTTCGAAGGCTGATTTCCTCTCTAAACCTATCGAGGGTAGCTGTCGTTCGGTAGCCATTGAAAATTGCTACTTTCCCTGCCAACTTCAAGGATTCCTCCTTTTACTCTCTTCCTGTGCGCCACTGGTGGTTATTCCAAACATGGTCCTTTTTGTCTATTGGGAATCGTATCATTTGAGCGTAGTACCTGCCAGGCCATCTGAAGATTGAGCAGTTTAGGCACTCCTTTGATGGGGCGATCAAATGCTGTATTGTGAAGCCATACATGTTTATTGCTTCTTAGCGTTGTATAAGGGGTTGGAGGATGGCTTGCATAGCGCAGTCACTCGACACGTTACTATAAAGGGCGATAAGGTCGGACTCCATCACATACCCGGTGTTAGGACGCGCGTTACCTAGACGATCCAGGGTGAGGACTAGGTCTTTTAATCAAACTATTTTATCGGTGGGCATGTGTTTAAACAACTGATAATGGATCTAACCTTTTACTTTGAGGGATCAATAGACAAAAACCATTAGTGGATAATCAGTGGTGAGTTTTGGTGAGTAAATATAAAACATGACAAGTCCGTAATTCAATTTTCAATTGCTAAGTATATTTATTTACATGATCTTATAAATCGATCTTCTTAAGCTCGTGAGAGGTTGGTATAGGTCTTCGTTGTCGTTGTCGTTGTTGTTTTTGTTGTTGTTGGTCTTGTTGGCCTATGGCTGACGTTCCGGCGATCCCGCATTCTTCAGAGCCTAGGCGTATTTTATACAAGGATACTTTAATTATTCGGTGGAAAAAAGGCTAAAGTATTAATGAGGATGAAACTATAAAATAAACCCCATATTGACCAAAAAGGCTACTCACCGTGTTGTTAGGAACGTCCACGCGTTGTTCACGTGGGGTCGCGAACGATACACACCAAGGAGTCAAAACATCATTTTGAAACAAGGGCACATGTGATAGTGAGGCATCCGCCTTTGCGGTTCATCTTTGAATTTTTGAAATTCATCCAAAACGCCTCAAGACTATTGCGCGTTGATGTTTTCCTGTAGTTGTTTATTAAGACACACAAGCCTACTTCTATTGATGATCTTGCTTCCACCGACCCGTCCTCATTTAAGGTTAGACCAATCATCAGCTGTATAGGTGGGCCAACTGATAGAATAACATGGTTCCTAAGCCTTACTCTATTTTCTTCCTTATCCTGACTCAGTTACTGAAATTCATACCAACCCATCCGTCCAATACCAAAAGATTTGTGCATCACCTCCGGTGCGCGCAGCCAAACATTACGAATGCAATGGAGCCGTGGAGCCATTCGATGTCACCTCACTTTGTACCAATGTGTCGAATGACCCCGTAAAGCAAGCCATTCTCGAGCTTCTCGTAGAACATGAAAGGGACATAAATATGTAGAGTTTGTCGATCCAAGAATTAATGACTCTTTTAAAACAGTGTCTTAGTTATTCAATTTTTAGTTGGTCGGGAAGATATTTTGCACAAATTAGAGGGTTGGCCATAGGACGGTAATTAACAGCAAGCTTTGACATCTCTTCCACGTATAAGGTGGAATCTCCAGTTCTCGACCGCCGACCCTTACTCTACTGTCGATATGTGGACGACTGCTTTGTCATCTGTTTCACACAAGAATAAACGGACGAGTGCTTTGAGTTATTAAACGGAGAGTCGGAATATATAAAATTTACGGGAGAAATTTCACAACCAAGATATCAGCATTCTACAACGATAATAACATTAACGTCATAGGAAGGGTTATCGCAAGGCGATACGATATCGCCAAAATTATTTACCGCTACCCTCCAGATCGTCATGCGAACATTGGAATGGGACGACATGGAAGTGAAAATCGATGATCATCGGTTACATCATCTTCGCTTTTCTGATGACATCGTCCTTATAACACCAAACATTAGCCAAGCGGAACGTATGCTTGCCGCCTTTGATAAAGCATGCGGAAAGATTGGTCTTCGACTAAATCTTATAAAAAACGATGTTCGTGAGGAACAGATTGTTTTCGTATGCCCCATTCACGCTTAACATAACAAATATCTCCGAATGCTCCAGTTATCTATGAAGATGTAGTGAGAAGGATAGAGAACACCCGACTCTGTGCCCACCTTTTCAACTCCACGGTACTTCCTGCGTTAACGTATGCGTCAGAAAGATGGTCGCTTCGTAAAGAGGATGAAGAATCACTCATCAACGTTATTGAACGCGCATCGAAGGGGCGACTCTAGGAGTATCCCGTATCATGCAAAGAAATAGATCCGAAGTTCCGACCAGCATCAACGATCAAAAATCAAAGATGCCGTTCTGTGTGCCAAAGTGCCGAAAACATGGTGGGTTGGATATGTAACTCGTATGAACAACAACCGATGGACAAGAGCTGTTAGCGATTGGATTCCTCGGGATGTCAAACGTACTCCAGGAAGACCACCGATCCGATGGTCAGACTTTCTTCACGAAAACCATAGAAAAAATGTATGATGCTCAAGAAGCCCTTCAACGAATAGAACTCACTAGGCTACTCTTGCACGCGACAGGGAAAAATAGGAAATTTACTAGCACTCGTTCGAGTCACTCAACGATTAACAGGAGGACAGGTGATACAGGTGGACGCTCCCGTGCCCTCGCCTTCTTCGGAGCGTCGTTGATCTGAGTTCAAAGTCTACCACCGTTCTTGTGCATGCGATGAGGGTATCAGTAGTCGCGTTTAGTCGGAACTATATGATATTCCTTCCTACATTGGCAGAAAATCAAAGTTATTACCGATGTTAATACATAATTTCCTGAGTAGTATCTCACTCTCATTGTGCCTACATTTCATATTGTACCCTGCCATAGGCAGTAAATTGAAAGTAAATACACTGCCGTACTGTTTTCATAGTTTCTAAGTCAAGCTTCATCCATCTTGGATATGAAATTTTGTATCTCATCAAAAAGTATTTATAAATTACACTAACCGTCATTCAAACCAACTAAGTCGAGTGTGCAGGTAACGCAGTAGTACAGGTATGGTTCAGTACTCGTAGCGCACTGGATGAACTAGGCACTAATCCAATCATGCCTTCAATCCCACCGGAGTAAGAATATTGCTATCATACTTGTCCGGAAACAGCTCCCTCCAGTTTAAAGGGTGGCGAGTGTCATTGGTAAAGATCTGGGAACCCTTAACATGGTTATCGTAAATTTTCAAGGAGAATCCACTCGACCAGTTTTCAGTGTAATCATAAAGACAATAAATCGCAGAACCAACAAGCATACCCAGATCTTGTGGATGACGGAAATGAACTGAATAAAAGAAATGCTGCGATCTGCACAATATATGTGATGTCGGGTTTCATAGA